TCTTTCGATGTGTATCCTGTCTAAAAGGGTTCAGGAATACTAATACGCATGTCTGCAGAATAATAATAGTGGTTCTATAAGGAATGAAATAAGTAAATACCTCGTCAACAATCGTCATCCTTCTTCAACCCCCGCCCCTTCAAAGTAAAAATCGAAGAACAACCTGCTAAAGACGACACTTCATCTTCTCCTCTATATTGCTGAAGCTCTAGCCATTTAGAAACAGACCCGAGCTGTGCACACAAGAGGAGAATTTTGAGCCACCTCTACCTCACTGTTTCCTACCAACTTGGTCTTTGTTTGTCTTTAACTCATTATTACTTGTATTCCATTCGAACTCCTACGCAACATCACATTTTTTCCTTTCTTACTATGTGCACTGTGATAAAAGTTCATTCATTAAATTACTTATCTTATTACGTAACTATAATTCTCTTATAAGCTGATTAATACTAACTATCGGCAACTTTTGTTACTGTTACCCTTTCGTGTAAAATATGTAAATAAATGCGATTGTACAGCTTAAGAAAATGAATTCTCCGAAAACAGTCTCTTCGATGAACTACTTACTTTGTTCTCACATGAAAACGTATAGGGGACTGCTGCCTAACGTCTATCCAGAAAGCAAAAGTTGATTTTTTATTTAGGATATCTAAAAGAAAAAAAGCACCAATTTTGTATGACAACAGTCACATACCATCTCTGTTTGAAGATGGAATCAATAGATTTTCAGCCGTAGAGAAGACTTTACTACCGGACACAAAACGCCGAAGGATTTCGCTGAGGCAATCCTTTCTACTAGCAGTATAACCTGGCGTTTAGTACCACACCATGATGTAAATAACTTAAGTTAGGATAGTAACTGTTTTAAATCATGAGAAATATCCATCGGGACATTAGAGGGAAAAGAACAAGAAGTTCAGCAAACAGATATCTTTTCGGTGATTTTAATTATCAAAAGCTGTACAATCACATTTATATAGATTAGTTTACACGAATACAATTATTATTTGTTTAATTCCGCATAGTAACGAAGGTGATAATAATTTTCAACTTGATATGAAAGTTTGAAGGTACGAATATAGATTACAAGAGGCTTAGAGACAAGATTGCATAGGATTAGAAAACAGTTACAACGTATGCAAAATTAATATTTGATAACTGGAGAAATAATTTTAAAGGCGAATAAGAGGTGAAAATTATCTCCCAACTTGATATGAATTACAAGAGGCTTAGGAAGAAAAGCTACGCGGGAATAGAACGAAATACAGGTGTGAACAGAATGAGCATGGGAACAAATTGAAATGATAATTTTCAGCTTGAAATGTAAGTTAGGAGGTGTGAATATAGGTTACAAGAGGCATAGAAACAAAAAATTACACAGGACTAGAATATAATTGTAAAATGGTTATTCTAAACGGATTACAAGTGTGATCAGGAGGAGCATGGAAACAAACTTAAAATAACTGATTTTATAACTGTAAAAATGGGATGAATTGAATGAAGACAAAGAGAGAAAATTACACACACGCACACACACAGAACAAAACAAAATACTGAAGGATAAGGGAACATACCGAACTAGGTCCTTGGTAGTTGTAAAGGCTGGACTAGTTTCTTTTGAACACATAGCTCCGACTTTTCGATGCATATGGCGAAGGGCTTCTGCAGTACAAAGAAGTCAAAAACACACTGCCTTTGGTAGATTTTTGTTTACTTTGTAAATGACTCTGAACGATGAGTCAGTTGAGATTCTGTGACAGGTATTGACGAGGTGTTCAGTTGTGGCGCTTCTGATTGAACGAGTGCCTCCCCTTTGCAGCCATGTTGGATGATGTTCTCCAGCACGTTTTGAAGATGGTGTTACAGGACTGCATTACACCGACTCCTAGATTAGAAATAGGGAGTGAAGTGGTAGAGCACGTTGACCGCTTCACTTATTTGGGAAGTTGCATCAGCCAGTGCCAACGGGTTGATCTCTCACGAAATCTCAGCACGGATACAGGGGGCTAGTTTCGCATTTGCCAGTTTACGCCATCTCTGTAATAGATGAGATATCCGGCCATCGACCAAAGGGCGGGTGTACTGCTCATCATTCCGTTCCGTCCTCCTTTATGGCTGGCTGTGAGACCTGGCCACTGAGAGTGGAAGACATGAAAAGATTAGTTGTCTTTGATCATAGGTGCCTTCGTTCTATTTCCTGTGTGAAGTGGTATAATAAGATGAGCAATATTGAGGTTAGGCATCGGTCAAGTTCTAGGTAAGCAGGGGAAATGGTATTAGATGGTTGGAGGCAATCGGCAGGAGACCTTGGACCTAGGATTCGTGCTAGTTGGCACTCGTCAGCAAGGCGTATCTGCAACCTTGAAGGAACTTATGTCCCTTCTGAGATTCGAACCCGCGTCACCCAGTGCTGCAGTCAGAGTCGTTACCAATCAGAGGACTAGACGCATCACACTAGTTACTAGTGTCAAATCAAAAGGAGGGGAAATCAATCGACGAAATTGTGAAGTTACATCGACTGAGATGGTTAGGACATGTGTTACGCATCCCTGCCTAGTCATCGCCTTCTTCGATGGTCAATGTTAGCGGATATAGGGTCCGGCTGGAAAAGAGCTAGCCACTGGTGGTCATACCAAAACATGGCTTCGTCAGTCAATGAAATCCACAACAATTAGTCTAAGCCACGTAGGAAGGTGTAGACTTCCTGGTTGTTTGGGGTCGTCGGGACGGTAAAAACCAATGGTTGGAAACAATTGGTGACATGGCTCAAAATCGTTCTCAATGGTTGGCGTAGATGCATCCACTCCTTGTGACCTATGATTTCCAATGAAAGTATATTGTCCTTCGTTACTACTACTCCTTTGTCTCACACCTCTGCTTACTGTCTCTATTATGCATTTCTTGTACTTTCTTCTCTTACATTGTATGCTACATAGAATGTGGCGACTTGAACTGGTGCACATCGGTGCAAAGTTCTATGTTGAAAACAGACAGACAGCACGTTTTGACAAGACCGGCATAGAACGACCTATGTACCTAGCTCAGCACGAGCAGGTGAGCTGATATATGCACATTGAAGTGGTCATATGCGGAAGTCTGTCCTTCCCGTTGCTTCGAAGTAGTGGGCGGCTAGAGAATATCACTCTTAGAGTTGCTACCGGAAAAGTCTTCTTCAGGGAATTGAAGATTCTCCTTTTAAGGATATCTGCTGCTAGGTCTCCCCTGAATTCCACATTCAAATAAAGTGTTTTCTTTGGCACTGAAATGTATTCTTCTCTTTTTGGCCTTGGTTCCATGTTCTTCTCCACAAATCGGGGTGGGTATCCATTTTGAACCGAGATGCTTTTGAGAAATAGGAGCTCTTCTTCTAAACAGCAAATTCTCGCTAGCCCAGAGGTACCAGAAGAAGAAGAGGAATTGTATCCATGTATCTGTTTTAGTCCAACCTAAATTTATCGGATGGTAAAACCTAAAGGGATGTCAATATATATATATATATATATATATATATATATATATATATTGAAAAAGTCGTGAAAACATTTCCTCTCTTTTACACCTTAAAAATAACAATCTGAATGAACTATTTAACAATAGATTGTTATAATACTCTCATCGTGTATCGAAAGTCCGATGGACAGAGGTATAACTAACAACTTCACTTGCACTAAAAGTAGCATTTCCAACCACAGACTATAGATATAAATCCCGACTTATAGCTGCTACCTTGACGTGGTCGGGCTTGCACATCGAGATGACCCAACAAGCTGCACTGGCTGGAAACAATGTTCCTGCAGGTCTTACCATGCCAGGAACGTTGTTAGGATAGCGATTAGACTTAAAGCAGTTACCAGCAGTGAAATGTTTTCCTCAGATGACCAGCATGCCAGCTATGCTGTCTCTCCACTCCGGAGAGAGGGGGTTAGAAAAGGTCGACCCCAAAAATTGTACATCCCGACTTACCCTACGGTGGTCCGTAACGGGCGGTAAGTTTACTAATACGGAACCAATCCCAGAAACCAATTCATACAGGCCGTGTGTGACCGGCCTCAAGCAGTTGTCCCCTGGGCTCTGCAGTCACACGACACTAACCTTCTTTCTGTGTCAGGTACCTGAATAATCAATCAACTTCTACGGTGTGGGCTGCCGGGAATTAACAACCGCCCACACACATCCAAAAGCACACGAAGCCTTCCTGAGCATCATTCTTCAATATAAATATTCATGAAATTAAATGATTTGCCACCAGTAAGGATCTTGAATGCTAGGGATATATGTGTTAATCATTTGATGCCAACAGCCAAGTATCACACAAGAGACTTTAGAAAACAGTCTAAAAAAAATCTACAGTGCTTCAGATTACTTTCTAACAATTAAACGGTTGGAGTCAATTGGCAGAAAGCCTAGGCTGAACCTAGGTTTCATGCTTGTTGACACTCTTCAGCTAGTCGTATCCTAAATCTTGAAGGAACTCATGTCCAATTTGAGATTCGAAACCGACTCAACCCTGAAGAAGTCAAAGACGTTATCACTAGTGTATGGTGGTCACAATGCAAACTTAACTGACACAGAATTCACTTTACACCAAAACACAGGACAAGACGTAGTGTTCAATCGAAGCATTTTTCATGAGTGTTTCGAATAATAAAAACTTCACATCCTTTCTGAAAAAAAAACAATTTCTCATAAGGGAATAGAACAAAACCTATATTTTTTTAAAATAGATATCCAATGATTAACAGAAAAGCAAATCAAAAAATGTACAAAAATTGACAACAACAACAACAATCAAAACAACGGGAGGAAGAATCACAGCAGTAGGGCAGATGATACGCTTTCACAGACAGTTACAATGGAAGGGTAAGCAGAAAAAACACACTAGCCAAAAGCAAATCACAGCACAGATCAAATGAAAGGGAACTTATACAAGATTAGAAATCAAAAGAAGCAAGGGGAGAAAAAGAGAGGGGAATAGGAAAAACCCGGGCGAAGAAATATTAAATTTTACGTAGCTCATCTTCAAGTGAATACATTTTCAATTTAAGATTTTTCAATTCATTCATTATTTGATTCGATCGAGTTGTAGATGCTTTAACTTGTTTCAGTAGTGCTATATCAATGTCTTTATTGTTATTCCCATTGACTGATTCTGGTAGATTGATTCCATCCGTAAAACCAAGAGTTAACTAAAATAATGAATAATAAAAAAGAAAGATTTTAAAAAGAAATAACTATCATTATCACTAATCACTGGTATATTTAAACTGACAAATCGTTATTACTTATTTGGTAATGAGTAGTAGTGTAACAACAGAAGACAAGGACCACGCAACAGATCCTTTATTGAGGAATTCAACACATATTTATAGATTTTCATGGAAATATTATAGATTATTGTTAGCAGAAAAACACAGTCTTCTGATTGGTTGTTTCTCACAGAAAGTTAATCTTGCATCTCTTTGTGACTGTTTCTTGAATGTCAGATCATCTATATGTCAACTGTATCCGCCTACGCAAAGTCTATGTTCTCATTTTTCTCACAACCAATATTGGGGACATAAACATTGATGTAAATTACTGTTCACCAATTTTGACTAACAGCCAGCTCTCACCACAGTAGTACGTCAGTGGCTCAATGGTAGAATGCTCGCCAATAACGCGGGAGGTAAGGGTTCGATTCCTAAGTGACGCACTCCTATACCCCATCTAGTTTACTAACTAGTAATAAACCCTGAAGACAGAGAAGCTTGGATACGAGGATAGCAATACTACCATGTAATAACTAGCGGTAATGACAGTGTTCCTTGTGAAAACTGAATATACAATACAGTTCAATTTAGTACTGAACCACTAGGACACCTTGAAAGAATGTCATCATCCCCCCCCCTTTGATTTGAATCACATCGTAAACTAACTCTCTGAATAATTAATTATTAGACGGTTGGAGGCAGTCGACAGAAGGCCGATGTTGATAACATGGAATTATAGATCTAATTTGGATCTTCAAAATGAAACAATCTTTTGTCAGATATTCATTCTTCATTTTGTATGTCTGTACGTATCAATCCAAATATAAACTACTATTCGTTCCTCGCATCCCAAGTGGAACGTAGAGTTTCAGGAGCACATTTACATAAAAATTATGCTCTTTAGTGTCTTTTTTAACTGGCTCCACAACTGCACTCCTCCATGCCATCCTCAGAAGCACAACTCGTTTCTCATTTGGGTTACATTTAAAGGCCCGGTGTACGATGTGTCATTCAACAGTCTCCCCACTGTATGTTTAATTGTTGTTGCGTAATAGGTACTTGACTGTTTCGTTGCTAGTTTATTGTTGCTTATCGTTTCTTCCGGCCATTTGATCTTCAAGTATTGAGTGAAGACATCTACTGTCATTCCGATTACCGCTTGTAAAATTTTAACTAATGATCAAAGTGAACTAACTCCTAAAACACAAGCTTCAAATTCAATGTTGAAAATTTGACTGTGCATTGATTATTCAAAGTTCTCGATAACATTCAATTATCCAAAAGTTTATTGTACAAGAAGAAATGCGTCTGTTCCTTTGTAAAATTGTGAGTTATAGACTCAACTTTCAGCCGATTGTTTCAGTGTTCGAATCTCCGTCCACCTAATTCAGCCTGGATGACTGTGTATTATCAGCAGTCCAAACACACACACACACACAATAAGTGTGGCTTATAGTCTGCTACATGCAAAGTCTATTTGAGTTCCCACAACAACAACAACAGGTGTTCCACTTAATTTGCCTACACATTCTAGCAGCCTTGTAAACAGACGAACTTTTCTGATATTCCTTTGCATTCCGAGTGAAGCATACGGCATCAAGCTTTAAGCTCTACAGTTTAAGTTGCATTTTTGGTACTTTTATGGAATGACGTCCCTAACCTTATGCCTGACCTTCCCACTTCACCGGGATTACTACCGGCTACGAGAGGTTTACGACTGCGTCGGTTGGAATCGAATCCTTGACCACGTATACGTTAGCTGTCCAGCATTCTACGCTTGAGTCACCGTACATAAACGGATTATTTACAATTATTTGCAATATAACAAAATATCAGTACACTTAAAGCATTTTCTGAATAAATTTCATTCGATAGTTGGTTGTAAACCAAAGCATAAATTGTAAATGATTTTAAGAAAAATCAAAAACATTGAAAAGTACTCTAAATTTTTTTTCTTCTAATATCAAATTCAACATTCATAAACGTAATACTGCCCATTAAGATAGATAATTTGAAAATTATGTTTAAACTGTAAACGAGAAACATCCCTATCTGGTTTTGTATTTGTAATTATTGTTCAAGTCTATCTTTATTATTCATAAGCGAGTAATTAGATATATGATTCTTTGAGGAAATAAATGACTGACAGAGTTTTCAACATAGAAATTAACTCAAAACTGTAGTAGTTCAAGAGTAACCACACTTCATATAACACATAGAGGTAAAGAAAAGATTCAAAAGAGGTATAATGAACGGAAATGTGTAAGCGAAAGAATAGTAATATGGAAAAACATGAGAACTTCTTAGCGTCAGGAACACCCCAGCAGGGCAATCTATACCTCCCGATGTGGCCCGAAAACAATAGTCATAGACATCATGAATGGATGTCAGATTTGGATTAGCCGGCCATTAACACTTTTTCAACTTAATCCTATGTCAGCTACCATTGCTTGACGATGTATGTGGTAGCTCAGAATGCGTACGACTTGATCTATAGCTATGTCAACCAAAGCAGCTTCACAACCTCATCTATAAAGCCACCCTCTTCACTTAACACTTTGCAATATTACTCAACATATTACACTACTTAACACGAGTGGAAGAAATATACAGGCAAATGACGAAGAACAAGATGATTCAATCAGTATTGACAATTCCTAATATTGTTTGTGATTTAATTATTCAAAGAACAAATACACTAGTTCACAATGAGTACTGTTAAGATTTTGAGCGCCCACACAGCTTATATGCTTACTTACATAGAAGTGAACAAGTTGGTTAGTTGAATGAATTTTCAGTGTAGATCTTTGCACTTTCCACCTTTAACTGTCAAGTTTCACAGCAGTAATTGTTGTACAGTACACATATTCTCTGAAGGATAACCGAGAGTCACGCCTGCAGGACTCAATTAACTTCAACAAGTTTCTTACGTATCAGGTTATATGTTACACTTACTGTGTAAGTATTAATGACAATATCTAATCGCCAGGTAAAAATAGATGAAGCGGGATTGTAGCCAAAGACCCAATGGTTGAAAGCTAAGTGATAAAGCCAATAGGTTTCGATTACGAGCTGAAATCAGTCAGAGAACCACTGGAAAATCAGGGAGTACTGGACAGTTGTTTATTTGGGACCCTTGAGTGGTATGCATTCATGACCAATTCCTGAGTTCAAATCCGGGTGGGTGTGTACTGCAGAAAAGCCCCAAACTACGACGAAACCGATGTCAAGTACGCCCTGGTTTCCCCATAGTTGTCTAGCTGATGTCAACTAGTGATCAGAACCTGCAACCAATCAACCCCCCCCCCCAACCCTTGCAGACCAACATTTGAAGATGAATCCAGTAAGCCAAATCTCCAATGTAACGATGAATCAGCGGTTGATAACTTGAGAAACGTAGTCACCAAAATAATCTGTAACAACTTCACACTTTATAATACTACACAAAAAAGATATAAAACCAACAGAAAAAATATATATATTCTACCTTTAATAATTGTCTTTCAACTTCTTTTAATTTTTTACGTAATGTACTAATATCAGTACGATAACCTTCCATTTCTAATTGACGTCTACGTTCTAAATTTTGATAACGTTGTGACATAACCTGTACACGTTCATGAAGTTTATGAGCTTGATCTTTGAAGAGATCTTTCGAAAGAACGCCTTCTTCACGTGCACGAACTAATTCTTCTTCTAATTGAATAACCTGAAGTAGGCAGGAAAATAACCGTTGATATATGAATAAAACTTGTGCACTGTGATAGAGTATAATTGCATTATGGGTAAAATTAATTTTGACAAAGTCTCAAAATGTTATACAGTAATATGTACCGACGATGTTTTGAGCACAATTTATTGCTCATAATCATATCAAGGTACTCACTTGCACAACTTTCTAACTTCGTTTATATAATTCTATTATTTTTTATCGCTTGACTTGATATAGGCAGGTGTATTTCCCATATTTCCGGTATGAGTATGAGTGATGAGTCATTCCTATTGCACGTGTTGGGTGTAGACTCGATGAACAAGGATTCAGTAATCAACCTCTCTCTCCACCTATCTAGATTACTTCTTAGAATAGGATGGGAAGGGTTAAAATTCTAAGAAGTAATATAGTTAAGTGGGGAGTAAGAGAGTTTGATTACTGAATCCTTATTCATCGAGTTTACACCCAACACATGCAATAGGAATGACTCATCACTCATACCGGAAATATGGAACATACTATTACCAATCAAGTTAGACGATGAAAATTAATGGAATTATATAAACAAAGTTAGAAAGTTGTGCAAGTGAGTACCTTGATATGATTATGAACAACAGTAAATTGTGCTCGAAATGTGGTCATCAGTAAATATAACTGTATAACACTGCGAGACTTTACCAAAATAAATTTTACCCATAATGGAAAAAAAAATAACCGAATAGGAGAAAAAAGCTAAGTCATATTGTGGTGGTGTGATACAGACACTGTGTTCTAACGGAATATTATTCCCACATATTCCCAAAGTCCAATGCTACATTAGCAACAGAACATGCATTTGAACATTCTATTTCAGACCACATAACAGTTATCGAAACCGATTTATTCAAGCTGTGTAATTGATGGATTACGTTTGTACCTGTGATTCAGGTGACTATCTATGAAGTGTCTACACCCGATTCTAAATAAATCGATGAAATCCATTTAGAAAGTGATTTTAAGAATCGTATCATCAAGAAATGTAAGGTTTAGTATTTAATATCACACTAGATCGCCACATCATATTAATGTAGATTGGTATATAGACCTAATTATCTAAATGTCATTTTTAACATGTCTGTTTGTATATCTCTCACCCCACTAATTCATTTATGACCTGATTTTCTCTCACGCCACTATGATCTTTGAAATCCTATTGGTTGTTCATTGTGTTAATTTATTAATGATATTAGCGCTTCTCAAGGTCATGTCAAATATATATATATATATATATATATATATATATATATATGGAGAGAGAGAGAGCGGTTTGATCAGTTGAAAATATACCTTTGCTCCCATGTTTTGCCTTCTGCTGTTACAATATCATCACTCAAACAAAACAAGTTTTATTTATTTCATTTGACATCAAACCAATTTTGCCTAGGGAAAATAATTACTAATACCTACGCATAACGCACAGATATAATGATTCATTGTGAATCTGGGTTGACTGTCTTACAACAGTACCTCAGATAATAACCGCTTATATCATCATTCTCTAAAAAACTCTAAAGAAATGAAGGATTACTTTGTAACGAGCTTCTGTAATAACAGAGAAGATTTGTAGCTCAGGTGGATGACTTTAATAATGGTTTTGTTCTATGAGCTCGTTGATTTAATTGCCAAGTTATCATTAACCCCCTTCTAGACAACTTCTTCAGCGCAAACTTTAATATAAAATGAACTTGTTTGAATTCTCCATGAATGATATAAATTGTATCTCTTGACAACCTCGTTTGTCGTGATTGGTTGTTAATTTGCATCTTTATTGATCATTTTTATTGACTTAGAAGTGGAACTTTCTTGTTATATGATTTATCTTGTTTTTTTATTACTTGGTAAATCTGATCCATAGTAATGTGTTTGTTAATCACGGATTCATTTGAGTACCAGGCTTCTAGAAATTCCCTGGCATTTCTCGCGTTCCCTCCGTCTAGAACTTCTGCTATCTACCAATCAAATAGGTGTCCATAATTGTCTATATGCATCGATATGAAAGAATATATATATTTCGTGTCTTTTCACGCCTAATTTATGTTCTTGGATTCTGAATCAAAGTGGATGCCCATATACTGATTTGATCTTCTTTTGCTGTTCCATCATCTGGTCTGCAACTACATCATTCATAAAGAACTGAAACAAGTCCACTTTATATTCAAGATTGCTCTAAAGATATTGTCTAGAAGGGGGACAATGAAAGCTTAACAATTCAATCAACTAGCTCAGAGAACACAACCCAATCCCAATCAGCTTAGTTTACATACACTCGGAAACAAGCAACGCCTACCTTAGTTGCCTACACCAAGGTAGGCTGGACGAGAATGAAACCCTCAAACACAATGATTGATAGTTACCTGCATAAGCCAACTATCCATCCCTACAGTTCCACCTAAATATTTAGCAGGTATACATTGAATAGTCTATAAGAAGAGAAACTCTACTTAAAATCTTATAAACACTTAGAGAGAAAAACTGATAAAAATAAAAACGAAAAATAAATTAATTTCACCTCAATGAAATCTTTTTTTAAAGAAAGAGATATTAAGAGCAAATAAAATAGATCGGATTGAGTAATAGAGAGGTTTCGCGTGCGTTTCGGATTGTGAGGGCGTTTGTTACTTCCCGGCTGCCCACACCGTGGAAGTTGGTTGCGTGACCGCAGAGCCCAGGGGACAACTGCTTGAGGCCGGTCACACGCGGCCTGTTTTTGTTCGTTCTCTTTTGTTTGGTGTGCCTTAGTAGCATACTTATCACTCCTGCCCTGTGACACGGCAGCAGGAAGCGCGGTCGTTGTTAATCCGGGCCACGGCCGATCCGGCATGAAATTTTGTGAATTTGTTTGTATCATGGTATTGGATTGGGTAGCTGCTTTTTGTTTAACCGCTATCCAAACAACCTGCCTGTCATGGTAGGACCTCAATAGACATAAGTCTCGGCCAGTATAGCTTGATTGGGTCATAGTGGTGTTTAAGCCCGACCACCACGTCAAGGTAGCAGCTTTCGGTCGAGAAATAAAATAGATAAAAAAAAATAAAACTTTCATTAATGATGTACGACATAGTAAACAGTGAAAATTACTTATAAATAATCGATTTATTAAAAATATAACTTAAAACTATTAAATCACACTGAAGTATTCCTGTCTTTTTTTTTTAACAAAAACTATGCAATATACAAAATTGCATTATCTGTCACGTAAGTATTCATGAAAATACAAAGACAACTTAATAATCATTATGCCTATGTCAGTCCGTAATACTTAAACTTCTGGACACAAACCGGCATTATAGTTACAGAAGGTTTAAGAAGCAGGAGGTACTGGACAGCGGCTGTGTCCTAGTTTGACACTCTTCAGCAGCACACACCCATAACTTCAACAAGATTTGAAATATTGCTCATAATCATATCACTCCATAATTGACTTATACTCTACCGCAGTGCCCAAGTTTTATACTTATATCAAGATTTGACACCAGGACCTTTATGTTACGAAGGAAGTAGGCGATGGACCGGATTTCAGTGACTCATCAATTCAAACTTCCGTCAATCCGCAATAACACTGACTATCACATACTAATGTCCTGCCTTATCTACATACGTATGCCTTGGTAGATCCCACCAGGCATGACTTCTGATAAGAACGCCTGAAAGTCTCTCTTGTATAAATATATGCGTAAAACTTGGCCATTGTGGTAGTGTGTGATTCCATATTAATTTGTTTAGTAGATATATCACACAGTGATGAAACAGTATTATTTACTGGATGACGTTTCGAATACAACTTATTCTTCATAATCATATGAATTATGATCACATGACTTCGAAACTTTCTTTTTATAGTTCTCTTCATTCTTTCCTATTTGTCGGCGGGGTTGACTCGAATACGATAAGAAACCTAGAGAATAGTTCAGCTATAATACATACTACATGCAATTACACACAACCATACAGTATCGGATGGATGGGATAAAATGACAGTTTTAAAATCGAATGTAACAGTAGGGTGGAGGGGGACATTGATGACAACGAAAGTTTTATTTATCGAATCGACTTCAAACACGTGTAATAGGAATTATTTAACATCTGCCCCTACGACAAACAGGAGAGAACAAACGGGAACTATAAAACTCAAGTTTCAAAGTTGTGTGATTATGAACAACAAATTGTGCTCGAAACTTTGTCATCCAGTAAATAATACTGTTTCATCACTGTGTGATATATCTAATAAACAAACTAATATGGAAGTCTCTCTTGTAATTGTTCACTAACAACTACAATAATTGATTCTCACTATCAATCCTACTTCTGTCTGTTTCCGACATAGAACTTTGCACATATATGCGGCAGTTCAAGTCGCCACACTCCCTCCTTCTAGCACACAAAGAAAGAGAAGAAAGTAGAAGAAATGCATAATAGAGAGAGTAAACAGAGGTATGAGACAAAGGAATAGTAATAACGAAGAACAATATAGTTTCATTGGAAATCATAAGTCACAAGGAGTGGATGCATCTGCGCCAGCCATTGAGAACGATTTTGACCCATGCCACCAATTGTTTCCAGTCACTGGTTTTTACCGTCGCGAGGACCCCAACCAGGAAGTCTACACCTTCCTACAAAACTTAAACTAACTGTTGTAGATAGATTTCAATGACTGCCGCCATGTTTTGGTTTGACTGCCGCTAGCTCTTTTCCAGCTTGACCCTATATCAGCTAAAATTGTCCATTGTCGAGGAACCCGACCGAAAGCTGCTACCTTGACGTGGTGGTCGAGCTTGAACACCACTATGACCCAATCAAGCTATACTGGCTGAGACTTATGTCTATTGAGGTCCTACCATGACAGGCAGGTTGTTTGGATAGCGGTTAAACAAAAAGCAGCTACCCAATCCAATACCATGATACAAACAAATTCACAAAATTTCATGCCGGATCGGCCGTGGCCCGGATTAACAACGACCGCGCTTCCTGCTGCCGTGTCACAGGGCAGGAGTGATAAGTATGCTACTGAGGCACACCAAACAAAAGAGAACGAACAAAAACAGGCCGCGTGTGACCGCCCTCAAGCAGTTGTCCCCTGGGCTCTGCGGTCACGCAACCAACTTCCACGGTGTGGGCAACCGTGAAGTAATAAACGCCCTCACAATCCGAAATGCACACAAAACAATCCGAAATGTCGAGGAAGGCGATGACTAGGTGTGCATGCGTAACACATGTCCTAACCATCTCAATCGGTAGAACTTCACAGCCCCGTCGATTGATTATCCCTCCCTACCTAGCACTTGACCGATGCCTAACCTCAATATTGCTCACCTTATTATACCACTTCACACGGGAAATAGAACGCAGGCACCTATTATCAAAGACAGCTAATTTTTTCATGTCTTCCATGGTAATATGTCTTTATGGTAATATGAACTTTATATCACATAAGTATGCAAAAGCATTAAAAACAAGATTGTAAAGGTAGCAGACAGGACTTATATTAAAGAGAAAGACATTCCATTCCATATAGTTTGTACTGCTACTCATGAGTATGCAACAGCAACATCTTTACTATTATCTTTAATTCTGAAGCAAATCCAATATTCAGAAAGGCCTTGATTAGACGATATCCCCTCTTCAGACTCAGGTTAAAACTTACACACTAAGCAGAAGTGTTTTGAATCCCTATGACTCACTAAGGCACCAGATTTCCTGATTCCTAATGGCTTTATCCTAACATGAAAAAGCAAATTTATGGGATTTATGGGGATTTGGATTGGTTTCATTCCAATTGTTAGATTTCCTTAAGAACCAAAACCAATTAAAGAGATCATCATCGTAAGCTGGAGACCCTAGATTAGATGCCTTGTGCGGTCGTGGATGCGGACTACTGAGGAATACCAAAATAGGAAGAAACAGCCGTCCAGTGCTCCATGGTTTTCAGTGATCTCTTTAACTGATGTTGGTTCGAGATGAAATCCAACAATTAAAAAGCAAAGTGTTTAATACCATAACTATCGTATAATAGTTGATAGTGAATTCAAGTTTATTTCATTTAAAATTACCATTCACTAAAATTTAGCGAATGTACACGGTTATTCACTTGCCTCCTTATCCTGTCTGTAAACAGAAGTGAATGATTCCAATATAAAAGCTTTAATCATTGAAAGTAGAGGTTCGTAAGGTCGTTACTGATTGACAGTGAGTCTTTTTTTCCTTCACGTTCCCCAATGGAACATATGGCTTCAAGATAGTGGCTTGAAGTTTCTGTAGCAGTGTTTATTTTTACAGAATGGGGTTGCTAGCCTCATTCCCAACCTTTCCTCTTTACCAGCATTATTTGTGGCTTATCGAGGTAAACGAGTGCGTCTGTGGCCAGGGATCGAACCCCGGACTATGTGCATGGTTGGCGAGCGTCCTAACCGCTATGCCACCTACGCAACTACAGTGAGTCTGCTGTCTCCAAACTCTTCTCCAACTGATATTATTTAGCAAAGGATTCTTGTTACGACCGGAACTACGACCTAGTAGACTATGAGCGAATGTTAACTTAGTACGTTGGCTAATCTGTCCTAAACACACGTCAACAACAATAACACCGTCGAGTCTCAAAGACAGAAGAAAAAACTGGACATTGGTTAAGAGAGCTTTTACTGTCTCAAAACAACAGTCAGAGGAAGGTTGACAGCGCTTGCGTACATATATGTTTGACAAGACCTTGAGAAGCACTAATATCATTAATAAATTAACACAATGAACAACCAATAGGATTTCAAAGATCATAGTGGCGTGAGAGAAAATCAGGTCATAAATGAATCAGTGGGGTGAGGGAAATACAAACAGACATGTTAAAAATGACATTTAGATAATTAGGCCTATATACCAATCTACATTAATATGATGAGGCAACCTAGTGTGATATCAAATACTAAACCTTACATTTCTTGATGATACGATTCTTAAAATCACTTTGAATGGATGAATCGGGTGCTGACATATCATAAATAGTCATTTGAATCACAGGTACAAACGTAATCCATCAATTACACAGCTTGATTAAATCGGTTTTAATAACTGTTATATGGTCTTCAATCCACTAAGCAGTTAGGGCGAAGTTCAACAATAGCGTCCCAGGAGTGTGAACGCTCTAATGACCTTGAACCCATGCTAGTCATTGAATGACGGGACCTGTCATTATCATAGCTAAAATATCAACGCTATTCACCAGCTAAGCAGAGAATTTTACCTAGATCACGTTTTTAAGTACTGTTTGGACAATGTGTTAATACCTCGTTAGGGTTAGGATTAGGGTTAAGGTGAGTATTGGAGTTAGGGTTATGGTCAGGATTAACGTAAGAGTTAGTATTAGGGATACATTTATAGTTGATGTCATTTATTTTAATTTATTTTCTTACCCACATTCTCCTAGTAAGTAGTCGCTGACGCTCTTACTGTAAACCTTAGTATTTCAACCGAGGGTTTTGGGGAAAGATTCACAAAAACAGCTCATCTTCAGTCACCTCGGTGAATACATGTACAGAAACTAGTCTAACTTAGCGACGAATACTCCTCATTATAATTGGGACGTATTTTTAAGTCATGTCAGAGAAAGATAACCCGCGTAAAGTGTTTACATGCATTTCCTTGTAAATATACGTCATTTTTTGTGCAAAAGTCACTTATTTTTATGATTGGTCGGCTGAAAGTCACTTGTGCGTTCGCATCCTTTGGAACGCTGTTGTTGAACTTTGCCGCAGTTAGCATCACACAATTAATGCTATTCGTTTATTTTATTGTAAACAAGCGTCCAGAATGAATATTAATATAATAACAGAATAAGAAAGAAAATATGAAAATTTTAAGAACATACAGATTGGATTAGGCACTGAAGATGCTGCCCCTGACAGACAATGACAGCTTTACAGATGTCAGCCATCCAGCTCAGAGAACACAACAACATAGAGAGTCATCATCTGTCCGAGGTACGATTCTTCAACAATAAAGAAATTTCAAACTAAACTATGAACTTAATTGGTGAATGGTAACTAGCAGTGGAATCCAGGATTCGCATTTCGTTGTATTTGGGAATCGTCAGGGGGATGTACCTGCATTTCACAGTGAGTGATGATGTTCCCATCGAGGCTCGAACCCAGTGTGTTTGAAAATATGGGTACTGGGTTCGAGCCTCGATGGGAACATCATCACTCACTGTGAAATGCAGGTACATCCCCCTGACGATTCCCAAATACAACGAAATGCGAATCCTGGATTCCAATGCTAGTCAGCATCCACCAATTAGCTTCTAATTACATGTTCAGACGTCGTCGAAGCATCTGCACAAGAAGCCGACAATGTCAACCTGAGACCGATCACTTCGGTCCAAACAATCGACGGGAAAATCTAAAATTCAATTAAACTATGAACTTACTTGATCTCTATACATATCAGACAGTTTTTGTTGTTGATCCAATTGATTTTCTAAATTTTGAATTGTTTTCTCTAATTGTATCTGTTTTTGTTGATTTACTTCAGCCCATGCACGGGATTCTAAACTTTGTATATTAGCATTATTTAATAAATCCATAGGATTAGTATAATTATTATGATTATTTATCCTGTCAGCCAATGGATCAGTGAGATTACGTCCATCAGTTTTCATAACAGCTGATAAAAGGCATGGAATACAAAGACAATAGAAGCATATGAATAATTGATCTTAGAACATACATATTTTGAAAAAAAGTGAATTAGACATTAATTTACTTGAGCTGTGAATTATCACAGTCTTAGTATTCAACTTTCAACAAGTTCATCTCCTTTAGATACCAGTGTGTGCACAGATAAGTAGTATCATCTAGCTTTATATAATGGGTGTAAGTCACCCAATATATTAACTAATAAGCATGTAATAGTTAGTTAGTGACAAGATTATTAACCCAAGTACTTGTCAATCACGCAGTTAAGTTTTGCTGTTTATTGACTAGCCGAAAAATCACGAAATAAAGACAAACTGCCTAATTTCACATCTCCCATGTGTATGCATCAGCAATTAGGCAAGTATATCGTCAAATTTCTGAACACCTATCCATCTTGGTTAGGCAGAGGACGAAAAATGAAGATATGTGCACCTCATTATCAGCCCACCTCATCCATACGGGATACTAAGTAAACACTAGCAGATCTCTTAAAGTTATCCATCGAATCTCTAAGAGAAGTCGTGACCAGTAGGATGCAGGTCGGGTGTGAGGACAAATACTCGCCGAAGACATTGCGAAATGGTCGTGCTATGTCGTGAATTGGCAGAAGTTCGAATTCATGGGCTGGACAATGAATCCGGGTCCCAGTGGCTTAATGGTCGAAGAGCTTGCCTTGTAACCAGAAGGCCATGGATTCGAAACCCGGCGGGTGCGTACTGATGAAGAGTCCCGAACTAGACTGACAAAACAGCTGTCCAGTACTCCCATGTTTTCCAATGGTTCTCTAACTAATGTCAGCTCATGATGAAATCCTGTAACCAATCGAATCCCTACAAACCAACACTTGAGAATCTCTATGAGTCCGACTTTTAAATACAGAAGAGGTAATGGGAATTCATCTGAATCCATTTAATAAGAAGACATTTGTGCAGTCCCCTTTCATTGTCATATCTGTCTAAACATAAGATGTATTAAGTCTTACTAGTGGATTTTAATAATAATAATAATAATAGCTTCATTCTAGACAGAATGTCTACGCAATGTACTGAATTCTCAGCGTAATTTTCTGCAAATTATTTCTTATTCATCCAGGAGCCTCAAGTAAAAAAGCAATCTATATGATATCATGTGACACAGTACCGTTCAAACAGAATCATAGACTAATCTCTCCAATGACATCACTCCATCACCTTCGAGAAATTCTCACGAGTAGTTTGAAAGGTAATTATAAAAATGTGCGTGACACAAAAACATAACTGAATGGTTAAAACAATGAAATATTGCAGAAAAAATGATGCACTGTGTTGAATGGTAATTCCTTCATTCTTTAACTTCATTACATTGTTATTTTATTATGATCACTATTATAAAACCTGAAAGAAACAACCTCCTTTACCTACCTTCAACTACAGGCGAAACTGACGAGGATATCAAAGCAAGAATCGGGAAAGCAAGACAAGCTTTCATTACTCTTATGTCTGTGTGGAAGTCAACAGTACTCACCATCAAAAATAAGATCCGGATTTTCAACTCCAACGTGAATTCGGTGCTACTTACTATACGGATCAGAGACTTGGCGCGTCATAAATAGCACCTCAAACAAACTACACACCTTCATCAACAGCTGTCTTCGCTCAATACTCAAGATCAGATGGCCAGAAAAGATCAGTAACAGGGATCTCTGGGAGGGAACCAACACAGCAGGAACCGATTGTGAAACAAATATTCAAGAAGAAATGCAGATGGATTGGTCATACTCTTAGGAAACCATCAAGTGACATCACTAGACAAGCCATCGCTCGAGTGGAACCCGAAAGGGAAGCGGGCCCCGAGTTGGTCGTCAGTGCAAGGGTGACTTGGAGGAGGTCATGTGAAGAGGAGATAAAAGCATGTGGGCAGACCTGGAGCCAGGTGAAAACTTTAACCGAGAACCGAACGCAATGGAGACGTGAAGCTGAAGCCTTATGTTCCTCTAGGAATTAAAGGAAACAATAATTATTATTATTATTATAGATAATTCAATTAAACCATTTGTCTCAGGATTTCCTCATGAACTGACATCAGTTAGAGGACTATTGGAAAACCAACCAGGGAGTACTGAACAGCTGTTTCGTCAGCCTAATTGCGACTCCTCATCAGTACGCGCCCACCGCCAGGGTTCGGACCCAAGGCCTTCAGGTTACAAGGCCAGCAAGCTTGTAGACCATGAAGCCACTGCGACCTAATCTAGCCGATGAATTCTAACTTCTACTAATTCATTTTATGGCTCCATCACTAGCGAATGTCATCGGCGAGTATTTGACCTCACACCAAACTTGTCGCGCCATATCATGAATTGGACACTTTGTTAGGACACTTAGCCAAATAGGACAACAAGCATCGGAACACGTGTGTAGATACCGACCAAGCACTGGTCCGCACTCGGGTGTGCTTACGACTGAACGGACGTAGGAAACAGCTGGCGGTAAACCCATCACGTCCCCAGCTCGATCAGGAATCTAAATCCCTATTTGAGGAAGAACTAGCTAAACACATATCTGAGTTCGACAGCTGCACTCACCCTGAAGAAGCTTGGAAGAAAATTCAGTCAGTCATAGATACAGCTGTAAAAGCTGTGAATAAGGTAAATCCAAAGGTGAGTAAAAACAATTGGATCTCTACCGCCTCATCCGAACTGATAGATGCTAGAAGACTTATTCCGGCGAGCTCCGAATTCAATGAGGAGCGAAAGCTGCACAAGAGGAAACTTACGAAAAGTCTCCGCAAGGACCGTGAACAGTGGTGGGTGACAAAAGCCAAAGAGATGGAGAAAGCTTCGAGGTTAGGCAACACCAGGCAACTATTTAGAATCATCAGGGAAACGGGTGGGAGAAGGCAAATTATAAGTGAAACAATCTCGGAGAAAAATGGAACCATAATAAGCTCCCAGGATAGACGACTGGATCGCTGGAAAAAGCACTATGAGGAGCAGTTTAATTGGCCCACAGCCACGCTCAACCTTCCGAACATCCAAAACCTCCCTGAATGGAATATAGACACAGGTCCTCCTTCCTTAACTGAGGTTACTAAAGCTGTCACCAATCTGAAACTAGGCAAAGCAGCGGGACCTGATGGAATGACTCCAGAGGTATTTAAGTACGGTGGAGGCAGTTTACTGTCTGCACTAACTGAGGTTCTAGGCAGCGTCTGGGAATCAGAAGAAGTCCCATCGGGTTGGTGTAAGTCACTGATTATCCCCATATACAAGAAGGGAGACAAGTCTTCCTGTGATAATCACAGAGGGATTAGCTTGACTAATATAGTATCTAAAGTCCTAGGCTCAATAATCATGCGTAGACTAAGTGGTGCTCGGGAGGCACAAACACGAGAGAGCCAGGCAGGCTTTAGACCAGGAAGAGGGTGTATTGATCATATCTTCACCCTCCGACAGATTCTAGAACATAGGCATTCCTACCGGCGTCCAACAGTCATTATATTCCTTGACCTAAAGGCAGCATTCGACTCTGTCGATCGAGAAGTTCTCTGGAGATGCTTGGCTGTAAAGGGAATTCCAAGAAAATATATTGCACTGATTAAGGCACTCTATTCGTACTCATACAGCCAGGTGAGGGCTTACGGCGAGTTGTCATCTGAACTGGTGACGACTAGTGGTGTCCGTCAAGGATGCCCATTATCCCCTTTTCTATTCAACTTCATCATAGATGTACTAATGGACTTAGGCCTAAATGACTTCAGCTACTCAGGGATTGACTTGTTACCAGAGAATAATCTCGTTGACTTAGAATATGCAGACGATATAGTCCTTCTAGGCGAAGACGCTGACAAAATGCAGAGTCTTCTAAACACCTTGAGCCGAAATCTACGAATGTTTGGCATGCGATTCGCTCCCGCCAAATGCAAGATGATGTTACAGGACTGGACTACACTGACTCCTAGTTTAGAAATAGGAAGTGAAGTGGTAGAGCACGTTGACCGCTTCACTTATTTGGGAAGTTGCATCAGCCAGTGCCAACGGGTTGATCTCTGACGAAATCTCAGCACGGATACAGGGGCTCGTTTGGCATTTGCCAGTTTACGCCATCTCTGGAATAGATGAGATATCCGGCTATCGACCAAAGGGCGGGTGTACTGCTCATCAGTCCGCTCCGTCCTCCTTTATGGCTATGTGAGACCTGGCCACTGAGAGTGGAAGACATGAAAAATGGCTAGCTGTCTTTGATCATAGGTGCCTGCGCTCTATTTCCTGTGTAAAGTGGCATAATAAGGTGAGCAACATTGAGGTTAGGCGTAGAGTTCTAGGTAAACAGGGGAAATCAATCGACGAGGTTATGAATTTACATAGACTGAGATGGTTAGGACATGTGTTACGTATGCCAAGCCATCGCCTCCCTCGACGAGCAATGTTAGCGGATATAGGGTCAGGCTGGAAAAAAGCTAGCGGCGGTCAAACAAAAACTTGGCACCAGTCAATGAAATCTACAACAGTTAGTTTAAGCCACGTGGGACTTCCTGGTTGTTTGGGGTCCTCGGGACGGTAAAAACCAATGACTGGAAACAATCATCGGTGATATGGCTCAAAATCCTCGTTCTCAATGAGTAGCTCAGACGCATCCACTCCTTGTGACTTATGATTTCCAATGAAACTATATTGTTCTTCGTCATTACGATTCCTTTGTTTCACACCTCTGTTTACTGTCTCTAATATGCATTTCTTCTACTTTCGTTAAGTGCTACAACTGCCGCACATATGTGAGGCAGTTCAGGTCGCCACACTTCACTCTATGTCGAAAACAGACAGACAGAAAGACAGATGATGAATTGGCAGAAGTTCGAATTCATGGGCTGGACAATGAATCGGGTCCCAGTGGCTAATGGTCGAAGAGCTCGCCTTGCAACCAGAAGGTCCTGGGTTGGAACCTCAATGCGTGCGTACTGTGAAGAGTCCTAAACTAGACTGACGAAACAGCTGTTCAGTACTCCCAGGTTTTCCAATAGTCCTCTAACCGATGTCAATTCATGATAAAATCCTGAAACCAATCAAATCCCTGCAAACCAACACTTGAATAAACCATTTGTACCTTGGTATATATCGTAATTTCCTTATCTATTCTTCTTAGTTATCATTATTTTCTTAGGATTTATAGGAATTTTGGATTTATTTCAATTGTTAGATTTTCATCGGTGAAGCAACATCTGTTAGAGGTTGTTAGGAAAATGAGAGAACTGGACAGTTGTTTCTTGCCATTTTGGGATTCCTTAGTAATGCACACCCCCACAACCTCGAATGCAGTCGAACCCGGGACCTTCAGGCTATAAGACCAAGCTCGTTAACCACTGACTGGAATCCAATGACCCCTGAGTTCTAACTTTTTTCCAGTGATCTCTCTAACTGATGATGGTTCGTGATGAAAATCCAACATAATTAGTTTACAAATTATTGATTATGCCGCAACAACCTCTTGATAACCCTCGTAAATTAACTGATCTCTTGTATTCAGTAATTACTTTCAACCCTCCTACACCTCGAAATGTATATTTCTTGTTGACTTGACCTACTAAAACATGGTCAGTCATTAGTATTTACTTTTATTTTATATAACTAAGAGATTGTTATACAATTTATTCTATTACTGTGAATCATATCCTAGTTGGTGCGTCGGTGACAGAGAGGTAGGATGCTCGCCAACCACGCATATGGTTCCGGGTTCGCCCCCCGGCCACTGGACGCACTCCCTTACCTTTCTAAGACTGGTGAAGCGGGAAGTTTGGTTAGGAATGAGGCTAGCAATCACATCCGTAAAAATAAACACCACTTGTTACCGAAACTTCAAGTCTCTAGCTTGGATCCCTATGTTCCCCTAGGAAACTAAAGAAATTTAAAAAATATGCTAGTTGTAAAGCAATCGTAAAGAAACTATGAAATGATATCATCTCGCCAAATTTGACTTCTTAATGCCTTATGCAGCCTAAAAAAAATTGTTAGTAACTTCTACTAATTAACTGTCTTGATGATTTTTAATCAGTAGTCATCTTCACCCCCTTTCAAACTTTAATACTGATGATTCCTATTGACTGATTGGCATAATTTTCACGTAACTATATACATATTAGCGTAGAATCGTTGATGAAAAGGAATATGTATTTTTCGTTCAGTTTAGTGTTTTGTTTTGTTAATCAGATAAGGATTACCCCTGTGTAGAGACATGCAATGGTATTTCAGTGATAGAATGCTTACCAGCCACGTATAGGCTAAACCTTGCTTATCCGATAGTTAGCCTGGCAAATGAGGAGAGGTTGGGGATGAAGCTAGCAGTTTCACCCCGTGAAAAAAATAAATCACTACTGCGACTCCGAAGCTTTACCTCAAAGCCCTTTGTTCAACTCGAAACACAAAAGAATGAATGTGGAGATGTGGCACTGGAATTTCAACCAGTAGATCTCAAGTTCGAATTACGCCCCCGCACCTACTCCAGTCTGGGCGACTACGTAGTACCAACAGCCCTTAAGTAATCCATGCAGCTCATAGCCTGAAATATGACAAACCTGCCTCGTGATTTAAGTTCAAACAACAAACAAGTAACCTTCAAGTGTTGAATTGCAGGGATTCAATTGATTTCAAGCCAGATCAAAAATTGACTTCGGCTAAAGAACAATTGAAAAGTAGGGAGTACTAGACAGCTATTTCGTCCTTGCTTGTAACGACTGTTCAACATTACGCACCCAACACTACACCAGGGATCGAGGCCAGGACCTTTAGGTTACAGTACGAGCTCACTGATCAATCAGCCACTGATATGTAATGCAGTGTGGTCTGAGAACTTCAACTTCTGCCGATTGACGATACAGCACGAACTCCAGTCAATGTTTCCGGTGAGTATTTGTTCCTACACCCATTTTGGTGGACCCCGCTGGTCACAACATCCCACTAGAACTTCAGGCAACTTCCTCTTGTGGTGATTCACTAGTGAATACTAGACTAGTTTCCAAGTGTTGGTATGTAGAAATTTGATTGGTTACAAGACCGGTTACGATTTCACAGATAGAGAACCACCGAACACGAGAGAGTACTGGGCAGAGTACTGATGAAGTAGATAAGGTCGAAACAATTGTTCACTACTTACTCTGACTGAAGTCAGTTAGCAATCAATCTTGAAAACGAGTGACTACCTATTAAAAAACCCATTAGAATTCATGAAGAAAAACAACAATTAAAAAAGAAACTCAATGCTGAAATGACTTACAGACAGTTGATGCACTGACACCAGTAGAATTAAATTTTTTCGTGCCTATCTGACTTAATAATTTATCTTTCTCAGCAATCCATACTTTTTCAGCTTGACGAAATTGATTCCTTTGTGCTAAGAATTCTTTAGTACTATCATATAATAATTCTTGACAACGTTTAAGCCTAATCAAAAAAATACATAAAATAAATTATCATAAACTAGAACATACTGTTCTGAGGATACACGTGCCTTCTCTTCATTACGTTTACGTAAACTATCAGCTTCCTCTTGCATAGCTTTACGATCTTCCATAAGTGAATCAATTTGTTCACGTGCATTGCGTGTTTGTTCTTCCAATTGTGTTTGTAAGGCTCTTAGCGAAGATTTTGACATTTCAAGTTCTCTTAATACAGCTTCATGTTCTGTACGAGATACTGAATCAGACTTAGAAGATATTGGGGCTGGTTCAGTACTAGTTGCATGATTTGATTTTGTTTGATCTGATTACCATATAATTAATAAATAAATCAAGAAACAAAATGAATGAAGGAGTTCAAGTGTTGGTTTGTAAGGATTTGATTGGTTACAGGATTTCATCATAAGCTGACAATAGTTAGAGAACCATTGGAAAACCAGCTGGGAGTACTGGACAGTCATTTCGTCCCAGTTTTGGACTCTTCAGCAGCAGACTCTTCGTGACCAGTAAGGTGCAGCAGGTCGGGTGCGAGGACAAATACTCGCCGAAGACATTGTCTAGCAGTTGCGCTATATCGTGAATTGGCAGAAGTTAGAATTTATGGGCCATTGGATCGGGTCCCAGTGGCTGAATGGTATGCGAGCTCGCCTTGAAACCAGAAGGTCCTGGGTTTGAATCCCGGTGGGCGCGTACTGCTGAAGAGTCCCGAACTAGACTGACAAAACAGCTGTCCAGTACTCCCAGGTTTTCCAATGGTTCTCTAACTAATGTCAGCTCATGATGAAATCCTGTAATGAATAAATGTTATCAAAACGAATAAAAGTAACTATTTAAAAGAACTACCGCATCCACAGTCTGTTATCATGAAATTCAGTTAATTGGTACACTAAGGACACTAAATAACTAGAATTGTAACGACAGAAGACAAGGGTCATGCTATAGATCGTTTATTGAGAAAATCAAGAGGTATTTATAAATTTTTATGGACACTATTGTCAGCGGCGAAGAAACGTCTTCTGATTGGTTGTTTTTTTGCTGATGGTTATTTTGTTATCTCTTTCTGGCCGTGAGAATCGTATCCATCTACGTTAGGTCTGCCGTGATTGGTCGGTGAATTCCTCAAGGTTAAGCTTTGTTATTGTTTTTCTCCTGACCGTGATTTGGGACGTGAACATTGACGTAAATTGTTGTCTACGATTTTAGCTTGTAACCAGCTCTCCCCACAGAATAATATCAATAAAATGTTAAAATTTGTGTACTTAACGCTCTGAACACTCCTAAACACTTTCTGTTCTATCGCTGTGGGATAAAGGATAGTTGTCACTAGGTTAGCATTTGTTGGTGCATTAGGACTCCTTGAGTGAGGCCTAAAAGGTGATTTGAATCAGTGACTCTAGACGTTATCAGATATATGACTGGGAATCAAGCGGTTATTTCCTTCTTTCTCCCCCTTTTCGAAAGTAACGTGAAGTGATGGAGGCTACTTAAATGCCAGTGATAAGTATGCCTGCCGGTTTTCATGATTCTATTCCCCAACTATTCTACTTTTTTCTATTTATTGTGTCTCGTCATTTTTTATAGTGCATCTTTTGCTGTTCATACTGCACTCAATTAGTGTTTACATAAATAAATAATAAACAGTTATTGTCGGATTGGTACTTATATAATTCGCGCCTTAGATTCCAAGTGGAACATAAACCTTCAGCGACACACCTCGATTGTATTCTGTTCTTTACCGTCCTTTTTAGCTTGTTCCATGACAGCTTACAGACTTTCATTTCCTCTTCGCATGATCTCCTCCATATCACCTGAAGATGCAAAACTCATAGCTTCCCATTCAGATTCTAATCCTGGGTCTATCTGGTGTGTGATGTCACCTTAAGATTCGTTCACCATATATACTTAGTACTCGCTAGTAGAACTTGACAAACATATACATATATCTGTGCGAAAAATGATACTGACACAGTGGTTGATCACTAGAGAGTAACTAACATATGTCTTGTGTTGACTGAATTTTATCAATTAGGAGCTTTGAGTCAATCTCAACCAACCACCACCTAACACTGATATACTAATACATTCGCATTTTTAAACATTCATGCAAATATTTAACGTACTGTGGAAAAATTTGTACTTCAAAAAGAGGTTCGTAATCTAAATTCAACTATTAGTTGATTACAACATTATGTAGGGAATAAGTTCTTAAGACGACTTCAATCATTAATTACACTACATAGTGTTAAATTATCAACGAATACTGTATTGATTTGTACTTGTTCTCACAATTTCCACATCTAATTTGTTCGTGAGACAATGAGTTATATTGGCTTGTCTGTTGTCCTACAGGTGTGCATGTGATGGCCCAATTTATTGTTCTATTGGTTGCTGTCATTTATCTGACGATGTCTAACTTTAACCTTTCTCTTAATGCTGTATGCTTGAGGTTGCTTGATGGGTATATATATATATATATATATATATATATATATATATATACATATATATACATATATATATATATATTGATTTGTTTCAAGTTTGATCACGGATTGGTATCTATTCAGGGAACCACTGAAAACCAGGGAGTACTTGGAAAGTTGTTTCACCCCAAGTTTGGGACTCTTCAGCAGTACACACCCACGACCCCACCAGGGATCGAACCTAGGACCTTCAAGTTACAGGACTACACTCGTTGCCATTCTACCACCTGAGTTGGAACTGATTACATTTTAAGTTTACACGGCGACCAATACTACAACTCTACTGTAACGAAAGAAGACAAGGGCCAGGCTACAGATATAGATTTTTATGTACACTATTATTAGCATTATTGTTAGCAGGGAAGCAACGTCTTCTGATTGGTTGTTTTCTTGCTGAAGGTTATTTTGTCATCTCTTTGTTGCCGTTTCTTAGACAGTCCGGTGATATATCTGTGAATCATATCCGCCCAAGCTAAGTCTGCTGTGATTGGTTGTTGGGTTCCTCAAGGTGAAGCTTTGTTATTGTTTTTTTCTCATGACCAAGATTCGTGACGTGAACATTGACGTAAATTGTTGTCTACAATTTTGGCTTGCAAACATCTCTCACCACACTACTACCATTCTGTCTGAATTTCAGTTATTGTAATATTATAATATTACTGCTACAATCCTTCTTGCCCTGGTCCGATCCTGTCTGCACAAGTTTTAATTAGTACTTAGTATGGAAGTTACTTCTTAATTCAATCACAAAACAATACAAAAACCGAACCGATGATATAGCATACCCTAACAAAGACGCAAATTGTAGTAACATAGTTAGTCGCTACATTCACATGATGACACAAATAATTTATTTCTTCAGATATTTGACATTAAGTTATTAATTCGAAAACTTTTAAAAGCTATTGAACTGGACGGCTTCAGATTTTTTCCCAGTCTGTGACAGTAAATGTTGCTTCTTAGTCATACATATTTGGGCTTCGGACTTCACAAGTTTAACATATGAAATTTCACTTTCATGATTTTATGCTAGTATATTTGACTTATCGAGCATCAGAGATGATTCTTTTCTACTTGTGTCCTGGTAGTGACCATTTAAATTGAAGTTTTTAGCGGTGGGTCGCAAGTCCCAACTCTGCTCTATACCACCTGCCGAGATTTGAGCAGTTAGGTAGTAGTATCACCACACACTACATAAAGGGTGTGGGGCTTATTGCCACCTCCATGGAACTGCAAGGGGTTGTTGAGTAGTTTCTTTTTCAATTTATACGAATACAACTTTCTTGTACATGAATTAATTTGATGGATGGTGACTAGCAGTGGAATCAAGGGTGTCGATTTTGTTCTATTTGGAACTCGTCAACTGTACGTACCTACATTCTCCAGTGAATGATAATGCTCTCACTGAGACCCGAAGCTAGTACCCATTGTTTCCACTGAACTTCTTGAATGACAAGAGTCACCTCTTGTGCAATGGACCACCAAATCCGTATTAATTCCTCAGACACTGTCCAGTCGTCTGTGCCAGGAGCCACCGACATGTCAAACAAAGCCAGAACACTTCAGTTCAATCAATCAATCAATGAGGAAATCAAAATTCACTTTTAAAAAAACCAAATAATTACTTGTACTTGGTTTTAAAACTGTTTTTCCTGATGCAGTAAACTCCATAACACCATGAGATGGAGCTGTTGGAATGATTGGTTTAACAGCGATAGCTGAAATCCATGATGACTTCTGGTTATGCTGCTGATGATTATCTTCACCATCGATAGCATTTTCATCGGCTACATTATTAAGTGTATTCTGTTGTTCATCTTGTGATTTTGTAAAAGGCTGTTTTACAAAGTAAGTTACTTCACTTGGCCCTAAATTAGACAACTGTAGTAAATGTTGTATTTTCTTTCGATCATCAAGTTCACGAATTTTTAAACGATCATTTTCTGCATATAAACGTAGAACATGTTCACGTTCTTGAAAAAGATAAACCTATAATGCATGGGATGCAAGTAAAAAAAGAGGTTTTGAGTAGTTTAACAAAACCACTATGTTTTTAGAGGGAGAAAAAATGTTTCAGAATTATGTCCACGTTGCTACGATCCCTTGTATTTTTTGGAGTAGCAAATCCTACTACCTTGTGGGTTATATAACCGTAAAGCTCATAACTCTGTTACATCGGCCAAAAAATCAGTCACATGCTCTAAAAATTGGTGCTATATCTAGGTTTGACCAGAGTCTAGGGCGTCTGCTGTTTTAATCTCACAAAAAATGTGATGAATAACGACATACGTCTCATCCGCTTGATTTAACATTACATACCCTTAATATTATACAACCATATTATAACGCATACTAGTTCTTTTCATCCTTTTGAGTTCTGAATGGTAAATGGGGCTTTAAGCTTGAAGTTTCAGTAGCAGAAGGTGTCATTATCACGAGTTGGGGCTACCAGCCTGAGGCTAAACAATCCCTCTTTCCCGGGCTTACTTACTGTCAGCTAATAAGCTAGGTGAAGTTCAGGAGTACATCTTTGGGGAATCGAACCCACGGATTCTGCATGACTAGCAAACATTCGACTGTTGAACCACCAACGCACATAACAGCATACTAGTAATATGCCAAAAATGTCAATGGTTATGGGCTTGATTTTAGAGTCATATGGTATGCAGCAAAACATACTAATACAACTTATTTGCCCATTTACAGGCTATCGTATACTTTCAAAACACTTAGAAACAAATTAACGAACTGGATGGTATATTCGAATAGGACAGAATATTGATATTTTCTATAGTTTGGTTTGTAAGGGTTAGTTTTGCTTTTACGAATTGATCACGAACTGATATCAGTTAGAGAACAATTGAAAATTAGAGAGTACTGGAGAGCTGTTTCACGAATTAGTAGAAGTCAGAATACATGGACTGGTCACTGAATCGGGTCCCAGTGGCTGAATGGTATACCAGCTTACCTTGCAACCGGAAGGTCCTGGGTTCGAACCTTGGTGGTGGGTGCGTACTGCTGATGATTCCCAAACTAGGTTGACGAAACGGCCGTCCAGTACTCCCTGGTTTTCAATGGTTCTCTAACTGATATCAATCCGTGATCAACTCGTAAGAATATTAATAATCGAATCACCGAAAACGAAGACATTATCAGTGTTAAATTGAAATGTTAGTCAATTCAATGTATAGAATATGATTACGAGAAGAGAAATCGTGATAACTTCTAAACATATTCTACCACTAGGTAATGCAAATTCTCTTAAATTGGAATATAACTACACCGAGTTTCAAACTCTGTCAAGGAAGTGTAGACTGCCTGGTTGGAGTTCTCGGAATGTTAAGCAACCAATAACTGGAGACTATTGGTGATATGACTCAAAATCGTTCCCGATTGCATAAATGCATTCACTCTTTGCAATCTCTCAGATCCATTAAACTATCATGTTTTTTTTCCATGTTACTATTCCTCCTTTCTTCCGCACATTCTTGCCCTTCATAGTTTCGTTTGATTTTTCGTTATTTTTCCCACCTGCGTGTACTACATAGACAGTGACAACTTGAACTGCTGCAAAGTTCTGTGCAAATTTCTACGTTAAGACTCAGCTAGACAACTACTCAAAATTGTATCAACTTGCATTTATAAACTTCTGTATAAAATTCTTCGCTAATTAGTTCATCAATCTTAATCTGATAATAAAACAACAATGCAATACATAGTAGTGCCCCCATAAACGACCTGGTACAGTTGACAGTGGGAATACTTCAGTCTTCCTGTAGAAACGCTTTCACGTGACCACACGTTCACAGTCTCTGCCAGGCTAAATCCTATTCATTGCCTCCACGAAACGGGGGTTGCTCCTGACGCCACACCGCTAGTTTTCGCGTCTTTCTTCAATTAAAAGGTTCGGAGGAGTGGCCCGTAAAGCCAACCACCTCCTTCAGTCTGAGCGTCAATCCAGTATCCCAAACTTCGCTCAAATTATGAGATTTTATATGGTGCATCTATTGGTACACATAACGTACCAAGTTTGTTTTAATAATAATAATGACGCATTGTAATATACACGCTCAAATGGTTAGTGTGCTATTGTAGAACGTATACAACAACACGTGTATATAACTATTGGAATGTTGACAGTGTTGTTATACAGGTTACTTTAAAACCCTCGAATGAGTTAGTCAAAATTTATGTTGTTCTACAGTATTTGAGAAGTATGCAAAACACTTTACTAATTGCTTACCTGCATATCGGATAAAGCTCTTTGAAGTTCTGAAATCTCCGCATCACGTTGATTTAATTCTAAGCTAAGCGCTTCTTGATTACCAATAGCATCATGAATTTTATCTAATCGTCGTTGAAATGTTTCATGATCTTCAGTTAACATTTCAACTTTATGCCGATAATATGAGAGTAATTCTTTTGTAGAATAATCATTTAACTGAACAAGACGATTATTGTTATTATTATCAAGTATATCATTTGATTTCGATCTTAATACTGTTTCATTACCTTTTGACGGATAAGATGAACGAATATTATTAGAAGTAACATTCGATTGACTTTTAGGCCGTATAGACTCTTTTTGTGCCAGTGGCTTTTGTACTTTAGATTTACTAGTGGTATTAAAAAAAGAGTAGAGAAATAACACCATGACATAAATTCACTATGTTTATACAAAAAAATATATGATTTATATATGTATAAGTAATAATACCTAACACTACATATCATTCTGATGTTATACTGTTGGAGACAATTGGCAGGAAGCTTTGATCCCACACGTAGTGCTTGTTGGGACTCATCAGCAAGGTGTATCTGCAATCTTGAAGGAACTGATGTCCCCTCTGAGATTTGAACCCGTGTCATCCAGTGCTACAGTCAGAGAGGCTACCGCTGTCTGTCTGTCTGTTTGTTTTCGACATAGTACTTCGCAGAGACGTGCAGAAGTTCAAGTCGCCACACTCCCTCCTTGTAGCACACAAAGCAACAGAAGAAAGTACAAGAAATGCACAATAGAGACAGTAAACAGAGGTGTGAAACAAAGGAATAATAATAACGAAGAACAATATCGTTTCATTGGAAATTATAAGTCACAAGGAGTGGATGCATCTGCGCTAGCCATTGAGAACGATTTTGAGCGATATCACCGATGATTGTTTCCAGTCATTGGTTTTTACCGTCCCGAGGACCCCAACCAGGAAGTCTACACCTTCCTACGTGGCTTAAACTAACTGTTGTGGATTTCATTGACTGGTGTCATGTTTTGGTTTGACCGCCGCTACCGCTGAGGTAATAGGTCTCACTAGTGACTTCCTGTAGGACTGTAACAGATAAATTGATTGGTCACTAGGGGCTAGCCAACGTCATGCGTCCTTGGTGTTATGGCAGACTGAGTTCTATCACTTAAGTATCAATGTGGTCATCAAACTAGATGACTCACCATTGTGGCACACTGTGAATCGATGTTACTTCGTCTGATCAGATCGATAGCATCCTTTGACCTTCAGAGCATGTCCATGAGTGAGTTTGTGAGCATAAATGCCATCCTAATTCTCTCCTCATTAAGAATCATACGTAGGGCTTCAGATATCCCTGCTTTGTATGGCAAAACTACAGACACTTTCGATTCCTTCTTATTATGTTATGGTTAATATTTTCACTACTATTATTCCTTTCCTTCTGAGTATTTTAAACGTACTAATAGATTTTAAGGGATGGTTATTCAAACACCAGTGCTTCTTCTATGCATTTCATATTATTATTTGGCCTACATGATGTACTTACTACTCAGAGTTTTCATCCGGTTGATCAGACATTTACGTTAGCCAGTCTTTACAGATAACGGATTAGATGACTCAAGGTCTATATATCTATAAGAGTGAATTGGCTTACCATAAATACCACTGCACAAATTACCTCCCCCTGTTTGTTATACTTTACAATGTGAAATAGTTAATTCTGCTATTCATTTTCCAACTGAAATGAAAACTGGTCCATTATCGTCCGAATAGCTCAGTGGTAAGCTCTCTGACTGGACATTGGGTAATACGGGATTGAATCATAGAGGGGACATCAGTTTCTTCAAGAGTGCAGATACATCTTGTTGATGAGTCCCAGTTGACACAAAATCAGGGTCCAGAGCTCCCAGACGACTAACTGGAACCATCTAATGTCGATTCATAGTAGGCCACGAGGGCAAAACCATATTTCAGACTTGATTGGTGAAATTCAGTTTCTACCAACGGCAGGAAATAAAAGGATGACATCGGTCACAACCTTGTAACCAATCAATGTAAATATCATTATATGTGCTACGGATGAATGTCCACCTTAAAAAGGGAGAACTGCACAGTGTTACGCCGTAATGAAGCTATTTGAATGTGGTAAGCACAACGAAATCCAATCAGGATTAAACTCAAACCGATCACAGCCTGACAACCACATGGTGTTTTCGAAGACAAACTACTTCAACGGCAAATCCATACTAAAGAATAGACATTGAAAGGAGGAAAAGAATTCAAAAAGAGAATATATTCGAGAAGTACCCTCACATATCCAAATACAGTTTAATATTTATCAAGAGAAAACTTCCAAACAATCTATTAGTCTATACAAAATGTGTTAACGTCGAAAGTCATAGTTGGACACATTGAAACATGTTCTTCCCTGAACTATATCAAACACCTTCAAATCATCCACCGATAAAGATTTATCCCAAGAATGCATGTTGGCTAATTCGTAGTTACATATCTTTCAACAGATCTGTAGTACTGCATCTTTGTGAGATGAAAATCACACCTCATCGACCGTATCTGTTGTAATCCGTCTGTCCTAAGAGGACTTAATCAAGTAGGGTCCTAATGGCATATAGACTTTTCCTACCCCCAAGCTCTCAATCTAAAATCCAATGGGCTTCAGGCACGTCACACCTGATTAGCAACAGGTCTGCACCGTCAGGGCGTCCTTAATAAGAGCCTGTACGTAACAAGAGACTGAACATGTCAGCCCAACGAAATCAATGGATGGCGAATTCAAAATAATAATTTCAACAAATACTGAAAGTTTCCAATTATACTGAATTTCGAATACAAATACTCGTACCTATCTTTGGATTTTCTAGTTCAGCGATTCAAATTCCTAGTTACCCAGTAGGATATTATGTGCTTTAAATATAAAACTTTTATTTTAGATTTTGTCACGATCTACCATCAGTTAGAGAATCCTTAAAAACTAAGGAGCACTGAAATGCTGTTTCGTCCAAGTTTGAAACTCTTCAACAGTGGGGTCCACTATGACAGGATGAATTGCACGCTCATCGATGACATTTATTGGTAGTGGTGAAACACTGGTAGAAGTTAGAGTTCAAAGGTTATTGAATTCCGAACGAGTTCGGAATTCTCGGCACTTCCTGTGAATGAAAGCTGGTTGGGAATTTGTTTCTCCTGTCTCAGAAAAGGCCACAGGCTCTCGGAATGTAAGGCTGGTGGTTCGCGTAGTTCTGAGGACTCCAAGGAGTCCCATCACTGACCTCTGCATAAGTTGAAGCCTCTTAGTGCATCAAATGAGCAAGCGGCGAAAGGTATTTGTGGGTATACGGATTCATTGGGAGAAAATGTGTGTCTGGATCTAGTATATATACGACCGAAGTATGGTGGCAACGAAGTTATTGGGTATGCGTTTTTACATAACGGGTCAAACACCACTCTGATTAAGGCGAACACCCTGCAACTATCAGGCTTGTCATCGAAAGTAGCAAAGATTACGGTCACTACGGTTAGTGGGAGCAAGGTGGCAAGACCACTCAGTGAAGCCTTTGAAGTTCACTCACGAGATGGTCGTGAATTCATAACCGCCGACCAGGCCATTGTTGTGAAGGAGAGAGAGAGAGAGGGTAAAGATGGTCTTTTACAAAAAGTGCCAAAAAATGTACCCTTGAGAGAAAAACATGGCGGTGCAGACCTGTTGCTAATCAGGTGTGACGTGCCTGAAGCCCATTGGATTTTAGATTGAGAGCTTGGGGGTAGGAAAAGTCTATATGCCATTAGGACCCTACTTGATTAAGTCCTCTTAGGACAGACGGATTACAACAGATACGGTCGATGAGGTGTGATTTTCATCTCACAAAGATGCAGTACTACAGATCTGTTGAAAGATATGTAACTACGAATTAGCCAACATGCATTCTTGGGATAAATCTTTATCGGTGGATGATTTGAAGGTGTTTGATATAGTTCAGGGAAGAACATGTTTCAATGTGTCCAACTATGACTTTCGACGTTAACACATTTTGTATAGACTGATAGATTGTTTGGAAGTTTTCTCTTGATAAATATTAAACTGTATTTGGATATGTGAGGGTACTTCTCGAATATATTCTCTTTTTGAATTCTTTTCCTCCTTTCAATGTCTATTCTTTAGTATGGATTTGCCGTTGAAGTAGTTTGTCTTCGAAAACACTATGTGGTTGTTAGGCTGTGATCGGTTTGAGTTTAATCCTGATTGGATTTCGTTGTGCTTACCACATTCAAATAGCTTCATTACGGTGTAACACTGTGCAGTTCTCCCTTTTTAAGGTGGACATTCATCCGTAGCACATATAATGATATTTACATTGATTGGTTACAAGGTTGCGACCGATGTGATACTTATAGTACGAAACCATATTATAGAAGGGAAACTAATTAAAAGGTCATAAGGGATTGAAAATTCACTGCATTCGCGTTTCATTGTCATATGTTTACGGTATGAGCCCGGTCAATAAATCACTGCAACCCTATTTGTTCAAAAGGTATCAGCAGTTAATGCAATTATCAAAGTTGATTAAAATTTGACCATACACATTTAAATCAAAAATAAAAATAACTGTACTACTTATTGTTTTTTTCAGTAGCTAGGATTTTAATTACAAAAGAATAACCTCTTTATTTGACAAATCACTTTAAGCACTGGTGTAACATATATTCACTACAGAAGTTATTCAGCTAAAATATTTAACACTTAAGCCAAGTGATTATTCAGCATAACTTGCAGCTAGTTTTACAGAACAAACCTTAATTCTATGACTGCATAGTGGTATACGCTACTGATCCACTGGAACGAGTAGTTGAATACCACTCACGTCAACCATTGCTGCTTGCCGGTCAGATAGAAGTGATCTTAACACTAAACAACCGTTTCACTCGTTCGGAGTCGAGCTCATCAGAAATTTACCCAGTTCTGACGTGGCCCAGATAACCATATCAGCTCAAAACATCCGGATTCCGGCTACATACTCAGGTGAACTAGTAATACGTGGAATCGAATTCGCAATTTGAAAACAACACACTTTGCATTGAAATTTCACCGTAGTTTCCATTGCAAACTGTACCGTACTATACCACACCATTTAATACCAGCACGCTCAAAGAGATAACCAGAATATGGGTAGTTTGAACTGATTGGTGCCTTTGAGTTGAGTCAAAACTGGGTAAGCCGCTGGTGAGCTCAGCCCAAAACAAGCGAAACGGTTGTCCGGTGTTTAGATTAGTTAGATCTGACTGGTAAGCACTACTGATTGATGTCACTGATATCCAAACTACATACACAATCAATCAACCAGTGCCATCACACACTTATCAAGCAAATCACATGTTGCGATCTGAATGATTTCGGTTTCTAGAGGTAACTGTGGAGAAATTTGCGAATTAGAAATCATAGCTCTCTCTAAAATAGGTCAAATACTTTCTTCGATAGAAAATCACAGCTTTACTCTGTTGAATTATTGCTTGGTTTGTATAAGGCACTGAGCCAGTGGTTCAATGGCTGAATATTCACCAACTGCGCGGGAGGTCTGGGTTCGATTCACGGACGAACCACTCCTAAACTTTGTCTGGCCAGTATTAAGCCCACACAAAAAGAGGGTTCAGTGTGAGCCTAACAACGCCACCCTGTGAGAATACAGCCCCCTCCCCCCCGACTGAAACTTCTAAACTCAAGCTTGAAGCTTCATGTTTCTCCACTCGGAAGGCAAGGGAATAACAAGACGAAGAGGCAAATACATAGGACATTTACTACAAGATAAAAGTGACTAAATTATGATTTGTTTTTAACTCAATTTTAATTCCCCCGTCGACTGACTGGACAGAAATGTTCGGCTTCCATTGGCATGTACGCTCCTAGTACGGATGCTTCGACAATGTTTGAGGGTTAACACGAATTAATTTGATGGATGGTAGTCATCAGTGGCCCGGGCTGTCTAGTGGATAACGCTTTGGTATTTGAAATGATGGGTACTGGGTTCGAGTCTCAGTGAGAACACCATCATTCATTGGTAAATCCAGGTACGTCCAACTGACGAGTCCCAAATGGGACGAAGTGCGCACCCTGGATTCCACTGCTAGTCACCATCCAATAAATTACTTCATGACTGAATTATACGCTACACAACTAAGACGCTGATCACTGAATAGCCAATTAGCGTAACTCTCCAATATTAAGGCTTGATTTCTGGCCAACATATTACTTTAAAATAACATCCACGAGGTTTCAATACTTATACATTTGTTCGCTCTTACTTTACACATCTTTTGTATACCTAGAATAAGTCCTTCATTACAGAATCATTTATTTTTAAGCAGAACATTGGCTGCTTTAAGTTTTTCAGTTTTAATTTCTTCTATTTTACATTTTTCCGATTGTTTTCATTGTTGCGTGTGGTATGGATTTCTCTCTCTCAGTTCTGTAACATCGCGTGACAGGCCCTCGAGTACAACCCGATTGGGGAACAACAGGCTAGACGTCTCCGGGTATCATGGGAGAGATGGTATGAGGAGGAAATGAAAGAATATTAGCAATAAAGGATCCAACTAAAAACGACTGAAGAGAACAAGAATGATATGGAGATGTGCTGCTGAAGTTATATGTTCCTCTTGGAACTCAAGAGAATAATGATAATAATATAATCCCCTCACTTCAAGCAATGTATTGGTCTTGGTATTAGTTATAAGAAGTTGTGGAGTAAGCTGTGATTCTGTTTATTCGCAAACAACCAATCACATTTGGGATAATCAACAGAAACAGCTATTAAATTCATCGAGTACCCCGAAAGCACAGTTATTAGTCGAAGTCAGTACTGAAGTACTGAACGCTTCACTATTAAATAAACCAGTTCAAAGAACACAACTACACCAAAATCACAACCCATCTGAACTACAATTATTCTTCACCACTGCAAATTCATGTAACTACGTTCTACTTGGAGAAACACGTACAACTACAAGCCTCAAAACAACTTCACATGGGTAAAGAACATTATTTCTTGAATGACAATCAACAGGATCTCAAAATGTAAACAATGTAAGAAAAAATAAACCAAAAGGTACAACAGTGAAAATTTGAAATAAATCTAATGGACATTGTTTTCATTATAAAAATGATTTAAGCGAAATACTCACCTTGAATTACTAGCTGATTGTGTCTTGTTATCACTTCTACCAGCTATTGGAGGCATTATTCGAAAAAAAGCATTCAGAACGAAAGAGTACTACTAGATGCTTGAAAAAGGAATTATTAAAAACAAACCACTATTAGTCTGTTTGTTTGTTTTTTCTCACGATTATAGTTCAAATTCATGACATAAAAATGAGTTATGGTTAATTATGAATTCTATTTAAATAATAATTTTAGCCGTTTAAATTTAGAAACACTCAGTGACTCAATTAGCAAAATGCTGCAACTAAACAAGTGAGGCAGATTCGAATCCGATGTGCTGATGTACTCTTAATAACTTGCCTAGCTTACTAGATGACAATAAGCGCGGGAAAGAGGGAAGGTTTGGCGTGAGACTAGTAGCTCCACGACCATCACCAATTCCACAAATTATAAGGCATGAAGCCCCATATTCCACTTGGAAACGCTAAGCAATCAAAAGAAGGTTTAGATATAACTTTAATTACTAATCGATATTCAAGCTATATCTCACAAATTAGCTGTTGTATTCTAATCTCCAGGTTCAATAACAGCATAATAAATACGAGATTCGGGAATTCCAACCCGTAAGGAAGCACTAGTATGAGAAACCATTTTGGTACTTTAGTTTTTTGGCTGCCGTTTAAACACTCTAGACTTTCAAGTCAAAGTCTCGAATGAAGTTCTGAATTCCCCTATATTTGATGACGATTAGAAGTAGAATGTATCATTGATACAAGTATAAATGAGTATATCAGTAGAATGTGTTATGAATCAATGTACATGATGACTTACGTGAAATGAACTCCATTCATTTTTTGGCATTTATCAGAAACGCACATATACGATACTAGGAAAACTGATTTTATTCGAACGTTAGCCACTCTCAGCTCCTAAGTCAAAGACTTTACGACTAAAACATTCTGATTACCTTAAAAAAACTAAACTTTGTGTGCAAACTGATTGTTAGACATTAATTGGTGGATGGTGACTAGCAGTGGAATCCAGGATAACGCGCATTTAGTCCCATTTTGGACTCGTCAGCTAGTGGGTGCACCTGCATTTCCCAGTGAGTGATGACGTTCCCACCGAGGCTCGAACCCAGTGCCCATAGTTGCAAACGCCAAAGCGTTATCCACTAGACCATTTGGGCCACGACAGCCACCTCTTGTGCAATGGGTCATAATAATTATTTAATTCAATCTAAGATTTTCTCGTCGACTGATTGGACCGGTCTCAAGTACATCCACGAGCTGAAGATCCCTGAATAGGACGAAATGCGCATCCTGGATTCCACTGCTAGTCACCGTCCATCAATTAACTTCTAATCACATGCCCAGACATCGTCGAAGCATTTGCACAATGTCAACCTGAGACCGAGCACTTCTGTCCAATCAATCGACGGGAAAATCTAAAATTGAATTAAATGGTTGCTAGACAGTTAAACATATAGTCTTGTACTAAACGTGTCGTAAACATGCTTAAAAGATATTCTGCATAATAATGTAAAATTCAGCGTCCAGTGTTTCAACAGACCATAAATATTAGAAAAGATTTGTAAATCAGGTGGATGATTTGCAATTAATAGTGTTCTCTGAGCTGGTTGGTTTAGTTGCGGAGCTTTCGTCGTCTTTCTGGACGACATCTTCAGTGCAGTATTTAGGATAAAGTGAAAAATACTTACAAACGGTCTTCAGGAAGAATGGTTATCCAAAAAATTTCATCAAAAAGTGTTTCAAGTCGAATCAAAGCACCAACAATGAACTATCACCAAAGACCAAAAAGAAATTCATCCTACCATACATCAGAAATATCTCTGAAATAACGGCTAGAATAATGAAACCGTTTGATATAGATGTACCACAAAAACCAGCCGAATTGCTTAATTCGATCTTATGCAAACCAAAAGATCCAACAGAAAAAGGAGATAAAATTAATGCCATTTACAAAATAAATTGTATGAACTGTAACAAGAATTACATCGGCCAAAGTGAGCATCCCCTTCGAATAAGAATCCAAGAACACAAATCAGCCAAGAAAAGACATGATATAAATTCTTTAGTATCAATGCACACAGACAATTATGGACATCAATTTGATTGGGATAATGTCAAAATCTTGGACAGAGGAAACACCAAATGTGCCAGGGAATTCCTAGAAGCCTGGTACTCAAACGAAAATGCAATTAATAAACACGTTAATATAGATGAAATATACCAACTAATAAAAAGTAAATCAGATGACCAGAAAGTTTAAAATCCCAATCAATAGAAAACGGTCAATACATATCGAAAGATGGTTACCGGGAGACGCAATTATATCACTCATGAAGAAATTTAAATCATTTTAAGTGTTGGTTTGTAGGGATTTGATTGGTTTCAGGATTTCATCATGAGCTGACATTAGTTAGAGAACCATTGGAAAACCTGGGAGTACTGGACAGCTGTTTCGTCCTAGTTTGGGACTCTTAATCAGTACGCACCCACCGGGATTCGAACCAGTACCTCCCGGTTACAAGGCGAGCTCGTATACCATTAGGCCACTGGGGCCCGATCCAATGGTCCTTGAATTCTAACTTCTGCCAATTCACGACATAGCGCGACCGCTAGCCAATGTCTTCGGCGAGTATTTGTCCTCACACCCGACCAGCTGCACCCTACTGGTCACGACTTCCCGCTGGAACCCAGGTAACTACCTACCTGAATAGGGCCAATCGCCAGTGAGCATCTCACTGATATTCAAGTGTTGGTTTATAGGGATTTGATTGGTTTCAGGATTTCATCATGAGCTGACATTAGTTAGAGAACCATTTAATCATTTCACTTTATCCTAAATACTGCGCTGAAGATGTCGTCCAGAAAGACGACGAAAGCTCCACAACTAAACCAACCAGCTCAGAGAACACTATTAATTCCAGACCATAAATATAACTAGTGTTGAAGCAGAAGTTTTCTTGAAGAAAAGAATGGTAGTTCATTTTTCATACTAGAAAGATTAAACTAAATTCAATTGAATAATATGAACCGTAATTAGACAATGATACCAAGACACTTTACACGGCTCTTTGGTTAAATAATAAGCACAATATCTACGGCTTTATATAATCATTTTATCAAGATTGAAAGATTTTATACTGAACACATAGGTGTGGCTTCTTCTGGTGGATTCCTGTGGTTTCAGTAAAGCAAAATTAAGATTAGCAGGTATGCGATAAATAACTTTAAATGCCGTATTAACATCGAATTTAGGCCCCCTATTTACAAAATGTGTTAAAACAGAGCTACGAATAGATCTTGCTTGTCCCCATGCTTAACCATACAGGATGATGTAAGGAAATATGATGATGAACCTGTCTAATTGTACGCCCAGTGTAACTGGCTCCGGAAGAAATGCTGGAATCAAAGAAAATTTACAGAAATGAAGATATTTGCATTTGGATGAAAGAGGAATTGCAGGCTTTTTGACTAAAGTACATACAACAGTGCATACTGCTGACTGCTCCTAATCTCAAATACTTCATTAATCTTTCCTTTCCACTAATTGAGTCCCGAGTGGAACGCATAGATTTAAGCTTCCCAAAGTTTTAGTAATGATAAGGTTGTGTTTCCATGGGGTGAGGTGCTAGTCTAATTCCTAACCAACCCCCTCCCGTCATTTCTCGGCTAAGTAACAACTAGGCGGCGATTAGGAGTACGTCGGCGGGGGAATCGAACCTAGACCATGTGTGTACAGCCGAGAAGCATTCCTACAATTACACCACCAAGGTAGTACACTTTGTTTTTATACGTTCCTTCTGGGTCATTTCTTTTCTAAATATGATAATTTGAATCGATACCCTACACTCTAATGCTTGATACACGTTTAACAAATTACTTGTTTATCACACAATTCACTCAATCTTTATGAATAATAAACGGGTACCTTCACCGTCTAAATGAGTTAATTACCCAGACAGATTATCAAAACGTCATAAGTAAAAATCACAAACAAACATTCAAAAATCAGAAATTTAAGAAACTGAATCTAAAAAATCGTTTTTTTTTATTTAAAAATAATACTTTGAAGTGAAATACAACAGAATGTACATATGCAAGTAGAATAAGATACTTTTTTTTTATTCAGTTTTATGATTTTCGCCTTTGATTTCTACGTATAGATGAAGTAATTACTTTAGGTTTTGTTGGACGTCGTCTATTTCGATGGCAACCATCTTTGTATACTCCTTTAGCTTGTTCCGCTAATTCTTCAGCCCATGTTGACGCTCTTTTAAGCAATCGAATTCTTTCACCCCAATCAAGAGGTTCTTCTTCTTGTTCTTTTTCTTCTACTTCTTTCTCTTTCTCTGAATCATGAATTAAATTTTCTTTTGAAGATGACTGTCTAGGAGATTTTCGACTATTGGATAAGTGATTCTTGTAAACAGATTTTGAATTTTTGCGTTTTTTACTCGTCTTTTCAACTATCCCCGAGGCTACAACAGTAGCAGGACACGGAGGTAAGTCTAAATTATTTTCCTTGTCAATAATCTGTGAATTAGCCTTGGGAGATGATTGTTCAGATGAGGCGGTAGATTTATTTGTCCTTGAAATATACCGATATTTAAGGCTAGTCTGTTTTGTTGACTCTTCTAATTTTGATGCAAGCATTTCAATACGATTTAAAGATTCCTGAAGTGATTTATTTTTTTTTCAAAGAAAAGAAAATTATTTTTTAATTGTTGTGTAGAAATTTTATTTTAATAGCAAAATATGATAAATTAAATGAAACATTTCTACTTTCCCCGGATGCGTATTCTGTAATTGATGTAGAAATCAAGTAAGACTGATTTTAAATATTGCATAATTATCACTGAATGAGCAACTAGACAAGTTAAAATTTAAATTTATCTACATGTATTGGTACAATATACAGTAAAAGCTACATGTTCGATTAAGTGACATCAGTTAGTGAACCACTAAAAACAGGCAGGGAGTATTGGACAACTGTTCCGTTGCCTCCCCTTCCTTGGAACTCCCCAGTAACACACACCAACCAGCGTTCCAAACCAGGAATTTCCAGTCACAAGACGAGTTCTTAGACTATTCAGCTCAACCCAATAGCCAATGAATTCTAACTTCCGACAATTTGCGATATATAGTGGGGTATGGCGTACCCCAAATATTCATCAACCTTATTCAACAGCTGTACGACAACGGCACATGTCAAGTCGTCCACAGCGGAAAACTCAGTGAGGCGTTTGGAGTAAACACAGGAGTCAGACAAGGTTGCCTGCGTATTATCACCAATGATATTCCTAATTTGTGGTGGACTGGATTATGCGTCAGACAGTGGGAAACGAGAAGACAGGGATATCCTGGACCGACCGACGTGAAGAACCTAGAAGACCTAGATTTCGCGCGTGGATGATTTATGTTTGATGCCACATAAAATCGAAGACTTACAAGCGAAAACCGACCGACAAACTGATTGAAGAAGCAGCAAAGACAGGACCGGACTCCAGGTGAACATAGACAAGACGGAGGTGATGAAAATAACCATCCAACAACAACGACAGCAGCAACATCCAGAGTCAATCACCATCAGCGGGGGGAATTTGAAAGAGGTTACTTCATTCACTTATCTACGGAGCATTGTCTCAACTACAGCCAGTCGGAACGGACGACGATGTCAAATCGAGCGAGAATCGGGAAGGCGAGAAACACATTCATCAACCTGAAACCAATCTGGAAATCTTCGTCACTCAGCCAGCATCAACAACAAAATTCAGTCAGATTTTCAATACAACCACGTCAAGTCAGTCAGTTCTTCTATACGGATCAGAAACTTGGCGGGTCACAAAGAATATTTCCAACAGGCTATTGCACACCAGACCTTTATCAACAACTGTCTTCGCTCTATACTGAAGATCAGATGGCCGGACCGGAAAGAATCACAAACAAGAAACTATGGGAACTGACAAACAAAGCAAGAACCAATCGCCCAACAAATATGCAGGAGAAAGTGGAGATGGGTGGATCGGACACTCACTGAGGAGGCCACTGGGTGACATCGCGCGCCCGTCAGGCCATCGCTCGAGTGGAACCCGATAGGGAGGCGGCGAGTGGGACGTCAGTGCAAGGGTGACATGGAGGAGATCGTGTGAAGAGGAGTTGAAAGAGTATGGACTAAGATGGATGCAGGTGAAAAGTACAGCAGAAGACAGAAGCAAGTGGCGACGTGCAGTTGAAGCCCTATGCTCCACTAGGAACCCAAGGGAACAATAATAATAATAGTGCGACCACTAACTGTTCTCTTATCTGATTTAGTAGACCTAATTGGTTACGACTTTTCACTAGGAGTTTAGGTAACTTCTTGTGTTAAGCCAGTCGTCAATGAGCATCAGATTATTTTTATTTATTTTTTATTTTTGATTACAGCTTGATTCCACACTGTATTTTTGGTGTTGGTTAACAGGAATTTGATTGGTAACAGGTGGATTTGGAATCTTATCCACATTAAAAGCTAACGAAACATTCTGATTGTTGTACTTTCACTTTACTTACTTATCTAGTTTTAATTTTGAGATTTGTACACAGTTTACTAGAATTGACCTTTAACATGATGTAACATGTTGCAACTATACACTGTTGAATCAGTCAGTAAAAGTACATTTCTTGTAGAACTAACTTACTCCACATATCTAGCAAGAACTAATCTCTGCTTGTGTATGTAAGCTTAAAGTTAAAACAACTTAATTAGAGGTTAGTGGTTTAAGCACTTAACAATGTCACTAAGTAACACGTTCGAACTCCACCTCATGCATTAATATCAGAGGGGACTACAACAGTTTTACTTTCTCCTGAACCAATCTTTGCTATTCCCTGCATTGCGTTATCCGATATTTTATATTTAACCATGATAATAGTAAAGAACCATTTTCCTTGAGAAATAAGCAACAGATGTATCAAATAACTGACTGGATGAATAAAGAGTCGACGTAGAAAATGGTAACACCAGGTCAGATTACTACACTTCTGAAAAGCATATATTAAAGGAGAGTACAAAAGAAGCTGTAGTGAAACTACTATGAACAAAGACGCACAAGAAAGAATAAGTGAAATAATAGAGAAGATTTGAAGCTCAGATGGATGATTTTGATGTGGTTGTATCATGAGCTAGGTGACTTAATTACGAAGTTTTCGTTGGCCGCCTGGACATCATATATATATATATATATATATATATATATATATATATATATATATATATATATATATATATATATATATATAAAAGGTACTGAGCTATGTCACCAACAGTCTCCAACCCTTACCTCTTAGCATCCCGAAGAATCGAGCCAGGCAATCTACACCCACATGTATGACTCAAGCTAACAGTCAAGGACTTTGTGCACTGGTGTCATGTTTCATTGTGATCACCCCTACCTCCTTTTCAATCTAATTCTGCTTCACCTAATATTGTTCATAGAAGGTGAGAGAGAACAGTGAAAAATTCAACAATCCTTCAGGCTAGTGAGTCATCTTCACTTTCCTCTGTGACCACAAACAACGATGAGAGCCATAGAGACAACCCCGACAGCCTCTTAAAGCCATGCTGCTAACTTCATATAGGAGCATTCAACGTCAGGACCCTATGCCGAATCGGACAACAGGCATCAGTAGCAAGAACTCTGGCATCTCGACTCATGGGTGTATATTGTGCCTCAGAGACTCGCATACAAGACCTGAGTGTGGTCATTCACTTAACTTCACTCGGCCAAAAAGGTGAATCTGCGAAATTCACTTTAAGGGTGTCAGGAGACTCCTCAGCTAGTTCACGAGGACTCGCAGCTGTAGGAATAGCATTGAATATTAGGGCAGGAAGGAAGGAAGTGTAGTACGTGTACTGTGATGGGTATTCGCATAAGACACCTGCTCCGAAGAGGATACAAGTTGCCAAGTCCCGAACAAGCCATTCCAACGCGTGCTGAGATTTCGTCACGAACTAGTCCATCAGGGCTGATGAGGTGTAAAGTGGCATAATAAGGTGAGCAACATGGAGGTTAGGTGCAGAGTTCTAGGTAAACAGGGGAAATCAATCGACGAAGTCGTGAAGCTACAAAGACTGAGATGGTTAGGACATGTGTTACGTATGCCAAGCCATCGCCTCCCTCAACGAGCTATGTTAGCGGATATAGGGTCAGACTGGAAAAAAGCTAGCGGTGGTCAAACAAAAACTTGGCATAAGTCAATGAAATCCACAACAGTTGGTCTAAGCCACGTAGAAAGGTGTAGACTTCCAGGCTGGGGTCCTCGGGACGGTAAAAATCTATGGTTGGAAACAATTGGTGACATGGCTCAAAATCGTTCTCAGTGGCGCAGATGCATCCACTCCTTGTAACTTATGATCTCCAATGAAACTGTTTTGTTTTTCTTTATTACTCCTTTGTCTCACACCTCTGCTCACTGTTTCTATTATTTTCTTGTACTTTCTTCTCTTGCTTCGCATGCTACAAGGAGGGAGTGTGGCGACTTGAACTTCCGCACATTTGTGCAAAGTTCTATGTCGAAAACAGACAGACAGGTGGTTAACAGATTCAACCATTTCAATTCATATCCTTAAACTAGGAGTTAGTGCAGTTAAAAATATTTAAAATTCTCTCTGTGGTGTTCAGAAGACCGCATTCTATCAGTATCTACATTTAGAAGGATTACATCGATTTCCTTGGTCGCAAGTCAACCCGTCAGACACAAAAGTCAACTACGATTACATTCATCAGTGCATTTATGATGAAAATAAGAACAATAGCAGTGAACATCTTTGACGGACATAACTTTTTGCAGTTGATTTGGACGAAAACTTACGTAAGTTCTTACAAGATATGATACTAGGCCACGGGTATGATTGCCACTGTCACGCTTAAGCAAATATTTAGTTACTCTTCTCAAAAAGATGAGTACGTGGGAGTTTTGTCACTGGTTACTTTCTGTGCTTATTCAATCACAGGTATTTAGGTTCATAAATTTATGCATTGCGGAATTCCACAGAAGTTTTCCTGCAGGGGCCGCCATAATTCACTGATTCTCCATACTGATACTTCACAACAAGGTTAATGATCTCTCTCCATTGTTGGAGTGATACCGATGATCACAAAATGAAACAATCTGTTTTATTACATCTGAACTTAGCACTGACTCGTAAGAGATGATTATCTGAACAGAATTTTAAGAGTTGATTACCATTCCCCATTTATCTGCAAAGGACTCCATAGGTTGCGCAAATACACTTTTCTAACAGGTCGTGACCTCGTAGTTAAGCATTAAAATCCTACTCTATTCACGTTAGTGTCATTTCTCAACATTAAGGAAAATATCTTATTTGGAGAGAGAATAAAACTCAGTCTCAGCTTGTTGACTACAGAACCTGACAAATTATATACTGGGACAACACTTTTGGATGCATATGAAGTCGCTTCAATGGGTGCCTTTGCATTAATCAGTCACTTTTGCTTGGTACCTATGTCGAAAACAGACAGACAGACAGGTAACTAGAAATATGAATTGTACATACTTCTACTATGTGAACTAAAATAAACCAGCAAATGTAAACAAACCGATATCTATATACATCAGAAAATTACAAAACCACATGAAGTTACTTACAGGGAAGGTAACAAGATTCAAACCAGGCAAGAATTCTGCTTCTGTTTCTTCATTTTCAAGACCATCTTCACTTTCAAGTGAATGCATGTCATTACCTCCACCAGTCCCTTTAAGATTTTCCATAAGTAATCGCTTAGATTCAACATAACGCGATAAACTTAGATTTAAACATTGAACTGCTTGATTTATTCCTGAAGATGGAGACTGAATATCTTTTACAACAGGTAGCGAATAAGTACGCAAATCACGACGACTAGCAAACATAAGATTCAAGTCATCAGAAATATTTCCAGATGACGACGTAATATCCTTTTCCGATTCATCTTTCGCAGAAGGGCTGTCAAAAAGAGGTGCTCCTGGGTACAGTACTTGTCGTGTAGCACAAAACAGAAAAGCATTAGCAGCGCATAACTTCCGAAATACATAATAGACATCTAATTGGCCTTCATCACGCGCTTCTATAGCAGTGTCTACAATCCAAGACCAACTGACAGGACAAACACGTATGCGAACCTAGAATTCAGTCAAGTAAAAGGATATGAAACAAAAACCAGACCTTTACAGACGTGAAAATCCGGTGAAATTATCGATAAAAAAGCAATACAGGCAGAAAAAACAGAAAACATTACAATAAAAATAAAACTCAGATGAAATATCTGCATCAAATCGCAAATTGCAAGACAATCGCCATTTTATCGGTAATATTGGAAGGTAAGTTGCATAGAAACAACAGAAAAGAAGTCAACGATAAGTATCGTGTTTATTTACTGAATAAGCGGGACCTGGAAACATATAGGCTTTGTGCTACCAAATCAAACTAATCAACTGAAGTTACCTGCTTGTTACTCACTAAATAGGCTTGAAAGAAGTATGAATTCCACTTCCATTTACTATAAAAAACTGAAAGAAAACCTAAGCTAAGAGTGTATTCGACATTTTACAACCAAGGTCTAGTGAACGGAAACACGAAGACATATAGATCAGCTCTTGCTAACCTTCTGTTAATTTGTATCCGGATCACTACTGTACACAAACACTGACTAAGATCACGAACAATAAACTTATGACTGAAGTATGCAAAAACACTTGGATTTTCCCGGACTGCCAAGATGTTTGAGTGTATTTAACTACATTGGGAACAAATCAAGTTAGGTTTGTGTCCTTTAGTCATTCAAAAATCACCAAGAAGTGCTTGAAGTAAAAAATTATATATATATATATATATATATATATATATATATATATATATATATATATATATATATATATATTATCTGAATCTCCAAACATAATCAACCCTTACTGTGCCATCAAAATAAAAACCTGTTACTACAACCAAATTATCAAATCAGAAAACAAAATGTATTACGTAACAGTAAGTTAAAGTGAAAACCGAACTACAAGAGTTGTGAACAGATAAGTATATGACATATGAGGATAAGACCCTAACCCTATAATCACCTTACAAATATACAAACTTTCGGAATATGATATTTTAAATCCTGTCTGTTTGAACTTAGCACAATAACAGCAACACGCATCTTGAAGTATGAATACACAATCACTCAGACTCACATGGTTACGAATAGGCTGCTTTCCATGGAAAGCATACATAAGATAAAGTGCGCATATTTGTACAAACTTGCTTTTAGATGAGTTTGGTTGGAACAGATCAACCAAGCGGTGAAAGATACAACCAATTATATCATACAAACCATGCTGATTTTGCCTTCCATGGATAAGATGTATCACTCTATGTTTGTTCCAAAGGTTAGCGAAGTCGACAAAGCGAAAACTTCCAAGACCAACAAAATCGTCTGTGAACTTTTTAATATCCTCATCCAAGCCCGTAATTGGACTAAATGAAATCTGCACAAAATAATCGCCACGATCACTAACAGGTTTCTGAATAGGGATAAAACTGAATACAAAGGAATATTACCATTCTCTTCATCGCAGTCTAACAGTCAACGTTTTTTACAAATAACAACTTGTGCGATTTTACGTGGCTCTGGTTAATAAGATGCAACAATGTTCTTCCCCAGCCCGTGATTACCAGGACTGGGAATCTGAAAGAGAAAATAAAGAGCGTCTTAACTGTTGAATAGACATGTATGCTGAATAAAATTAGGTCTAATAAAGCTCCCCAGCTAGTAGTTTTTCGGACGGACTGAGGGAATTTCAGTGCAAAAACTTCGGGAAATTCATCTGCAGTCTGCCCCAAAGTCTCCGCAGAGAGCCCGGAGCCAATACTAGCTGGGTAATTATTTATAAAGTTATTGATGCAAAAGTTAACGAGGCGAAGATGAATTATAGCGATCACCAAATGACCCTGAGCAAAACAACCATGACTAGTGAAGTACTAGTTGAAGTATCCCAGCTAGCATTTTGTTCGGGCCAATTGCAGACTTTTTGGGGCAGAATCCGGGCGCATTGCAGACTTTTTGGGCAGACTTGGACAAATTGCAGATTTTTAGGGACTTAGGGCGCATTGCAGACTTTTTGGGGCAGAGTTTGGGCACATTGCAAATTCCGAGGAAGACTTAGGGCGCATTGCAGACTTCTTGGGGCAGACTTAGGGACACTGTCCCACGTAAGTAGATCTGCCCGAAGTTTTTGCCCCAAAAAGTCTGCAATGCGCCCGAAAAAAATGCTAGCTGAGATACTTCGACAGTTCTAGATCTACCATTACGGTTAGGGTAACTACGATGTTTGCTAGTCTCTATACCTCAGTCTATCACAAAGTTATTCGGTGTCTACTATGGTTTATATTCGCCACTTAGTGACAATAGGACCTGGTAAATATAACTAAAAACGATACGTGTAAACTCCATAAATATTACCCAACGATGGTAAACAATACTTAACACATGCGCACTTATCAGTTTTCAAGGCCACGCCTTGAATGTTCATACGACTAAACGAAACAGTTGAAAAAAGCACAGAATTCAAAGCAAGATATAAAATTTCGAAGAAAACACTAAAGGAATTCCCAACACAGAAGTTTTAAACACATGGAAATTCACCAACAGATAAACTATACAACGGTGAGTCGGGATGAGTTGTGGTCGCGATTTGTTGTAAAATCATCCACATAAATGATAAAGAATCCGCAGTCTCCACTCCATTTCCTGTTAGAGTGTCGAAATGCCAGACTGTTCAACTGGCGCTCAATACTGTGGCAAATAACATCCAAACTTTGGATTGAAGTTACTGATATAAGCATAAAACTTCTGTTTCGAAATTCTGGAAGACCATACTATTCACAGTGGTGAACAGTTTGCTAGTGTATGTTTTGTAATTTCTATGCAATTCGTTACAAGCCCTCAGTAACTTACATCGATGCGTGGCAAACAGAATTCCATAAGAACTTGGTTACGCTGTGTTCTGCCATTTTTCTGGTCTTGTATGTGAAAATAAGTAAATGGGGTATATTAGTGCCCAGATCATTCTTCGAGTCACAGAATCCTAACCCGAAATCTTGTCTTGGAAGCCACAGCTGTGGCTGATCACTTAAACTTTATTCAGGCACTCCATATTTATGATCTGTTTGACTACCTCGACACTTTCTTTTCTCTATAGATCTAATTCTGCAATACTGTGATTATTGCTCCTTCAATATGTCCCAAGTAGGACATTTGGCTTTGAAGCGTCAAAGCAAAATCGAAACTAATTCACCTTTGACACTGTCATCTGGCCCTCAGAATCGATACAGCTTACGCAAATAGCTGGTTAGGGTTGTACCCTCTGTCCGATCATGTGCAGTTTTACATTGTGAGTCCTGGGTGATCTGTATTCATTGAAAGTTTTGTCTCTTGCCAGTATTTTTCGACGAGTTGCAAGTGATGGTCGGTTCAAGAGGCCTTAGGAAAGATCCGCCAAAAGTTTTCTTTGTTTCGCCCCTTCGATGACCAAGTTTCTTCACTGTTTTCACTTGCTTCATCCTCGTTGATCTGTTCGTTACATAGTGTTATCAGGTCTCCCTTTCCAGCATCCTCTTATGCTTGTTGCTAGTGCTGTACAAAAGCGTCTGTTGACTCCCACACACACTCCTTTTCCTAGTGTTTCTGCATTCATTTTCACCTTTGAACTGGTTCCTCTTTTGCATCGTGAACCTTCTTCCCTCTATCAACTCCCAGATATCTGTAGAAGGTCATTCGTTGTTTTACTCTCGCTTAATAATATTAAACCTTTTTTCAGGCGAAATGCGAACACAAAGAAGAAATTTTCGGCGTTTTTAGTTCGAGAGTATTCCGTCTTCGTGCAGGATTTACATGTAAAATAATAATCCGAAGTATATCATGTGAAGTAGCGTTGTTGAGCATGAAAAGAACCATTTCTGTGTACGTTTTCCTTATTTTCTTCAAAAATTGCACAGCCTTTCGCTGAAAGATAAAAAAATTACTTGGGTAAGTTAATGTAGTGGCTATGTGATAGAAATTTCAGGATTAAGTAATAGGAAGTGAAAAAGGGTTTGAGCATTCTGGCGGATGGAAAAACTGGTAACCCAGTGATTTCACCGGGCCACCGTTGGGGCGGCTCCGTAGTTTTCTTTCACCGAGGCTTTCAAAGAGTTCAAATGATGCAGCCTGATATCCCAGACTCTTCCCTCACTACTGCGGTTGATGTGTTCTTTACAGTTCCTTCCCTCATTTTTTGGATGTTGAGCTTGAATCGTGGCCTGTATACAGATTCTCTAAAGGCTTTCAATTTGACTTTGAAGCCGCTTAGCCTACATCTGCTCCAGTTGTTCGTCTGGTGCCCAATACTGAGCCCCCATTTTTTTGAGATTGCAATAAAGTCCCGTGGTTTCGCGTATGTCTACCAAATGCAAAAAATGCCGCCATTTGCATAAACATACATCTACATAATATATTTGACGGTTATGAAAATATAGCCCAAAATGTCCAGCAGTGTGACCGAAAACGGAACTACCTGATTTACAACAATTTGGGAGCTACAAATTCGTACCATTTACCTAAAGGATCAAACAGTAAATCAATAGTAATGAGTGAGCAGTGTATATGTCAATGTAGTTGAAGACTGAATAATCAATTCATGGTTGTTTCCTCTAACCCAACTCCTCCGTATTTTTTGCGGGAGTCATCAATCCATCAGTCATCGTCTCATCGTTCGCTGTTCAGTGGAAGATAAAAAGCTATCAGAAGTATCATCGTGATTTATTGTTATAACATTTATTCTTAGACCTTGTGTGTAATAACCTTATGGTTGGTTACATATTGGCATAAGAATGAAGGATTCTCGAGTTGCCAATCTGTGTTCTGGTTTTTTCGCGTTGGTTAATACATAGTGTTTCTGAAAGTCTTCGAGGGACAGCGTGAGGTCCAGCGTAGTAAGAGCTGGACACTGATAGTTACTGAGGGTTGGCTGACAGTATATATTCTACTTATAACATAGAGCCGTCATGCCACGCTAAATCATAAGATGGCTGATTGCAGCTGGGCCTGCAGTCAATTTTTCATCAGAGCAACCAGGCTTTAAGGAAGCGAAGAGTAATAATAAAGAGTTGGTTCCAGGTTTATTGAAGTCCTTGGTAATTCAGATGAAGTAGAGCAAAACCTTAGTTAGATAATAAGTTGTCTTGAAGCATGTAGGTCATATCTCAGTGAGAATTGGCTTCAAAGATCTGAAGGATTAGAACCTGTAGGACAATCTGACCTGCAAGATGTCTCGCGAATTTCTGTAAGGCCCATGGAGTAGCATCTTGACGAGAAGCTGAGCAGCCTGTAGGTCACTTGCAAAGATGAATGGTTTACCATGGGAGAAGCAGGCGTATATCGTTGATGTAATGTGTAAATATGAAGTGTCTTTAGAGGCTGAGGGTAATGACGTTCACAAATAGTACGAAGTATACTAACGCAATACCTAATACCCACAACTTCTGTAATATTCGTTCCACGTAGACCAAAGTCAAAGCAGTACACCAGAAGCGACCGTCCAAACTGCGAATTGCCTTTTGGGACCAAATCGGAGTGCGAGATGGTAGCTTGACTAGCTAGGGGTCGTGCACAAACGAACGAACGTGATACGTCGGCGTGCAGAATGGCGTAGATGCTTGACCGGGAGCCTTCAGCTAAACAAATCGACTAAAACAGTGAGGGTCAGCATCCACTGTTTGGCGGTGAATGCTGTGGCTAAAAATACTTGGGAATTACCTAACGCTACGGCTCTCTCCTCCCCTAGTATGAGTGTGAGAACCCTTTGACGAAACCAGCCAGAGGCAAAAACCCAATGGTGTTAACATCGGTAAAACTCTTCCGATCGACTTGATGAATTGTCTGCTAATTGTCTACTTCTTCTTACTGGGTGTTTGTATATCACCTCACTTATGTTTGTCGGTTAGATCTGGTGATTCGTTTGTTTCTTGTCCAGCCTTGTTTAGGAAAATGTACCAGAAATAACGTTTGGATGGCAAATGCATCTAGCATTCCGAAAAATAATGAGAAAAACAGAACGCTGAAAAAAATACTTTTGGTAGTTGTTCGAATACACATGATGACATGTATACATATATATATGTATGTGTGTGTATGGTGGTCTCTCTTTCTGTTTGCTCTCTTAGCCTGTGACCATTTCACTTGTATGAACCTGTCTCCTTTAACAATGTATATTCCCCTTATATTATATATAATATGAGTGTTTGTTGACAGTCCGTTGCTTGGTGACATATATCCATATTATATGTGTGGTTGTTGACGTGTCTGCTATATTTTGCTGTGTATATATGGATCGATACTCCATTATAATTAGCCATTCATGTTAAGACTGTCTATTGATTTGTTCGCGCACTTGTCTGGACATTCATATATATTTCGCTCTCACAATCTTGTGTGACACTTTTGGTGTGATACCACTTATTTGCTTCTCCTGGTGTTTTGGAAAATAGAAGTATCATCGCAAACCTAGTGGTCTTCTGATTTCCGCCTTCTTGCGTCAGGACTATTAAATTCTCGACCAGTACATATCAATAATTTTTTTGATTTACAGTTTGATTCCACACTGCATTTTTGGTACAAGTATGGAATTTTCAGCGTGGATATCGGTAGCCCAAATTTTGCAGGCCGACCATAGATATCAGGTGTGCGTCGGCGTGGGCTCGAACCCCGGACCATCTGCATGGTCGGCGAGAGTCCTATCCACTGTGCCACCGAAGCACAATTTCTCCTATCTACAGAGTAGACGAAGGACTCATGTTTTAATCTGTTTCACTTAACAACCACTCCAATGAACGCCTTCTTAGGGCGATTCTTCCTTCGAAGTTCCCATAGCACAATATTTATAAAGGGCACAAGTTGGTGTTTAAAACCTTGAATGAGTACGTGCTGGAGATGCGATTACTTTCCAAAAACTACTAATTAATAGGAGCTCCATGGCGCAGAAGGAAACGTTCTAAGAAGCTTGTTATGGAGAAGTGTTGTAGATAGTTGTGGCTATCATTTACAATTACAACGTCAGTATGGGTGTTCAACACAACAACTTTGCTACTCCTACGATTGAAACATTGGTTCACTATAAGCCTTTTCGATTGTTTTTCGTAAATTTTCTGACTCTGTCCATTTTTCAAATTAGATACTGTTAATTCTGAAACTTAAGTGATGTAAACTTGGGCTAACAACAAACCTATTTTATGAAGGATGAAAACGGTAGTCATCTACGGAGTGAATTTTAAGCAAAAAACAATAATAATATATTTTTTCACATAAACATAAATTTGCATGTAAATGCATGCCATTTTTACAGGCACGATCAAGTATGGTATAATGTCAAATCTTAAATTGTCTACAAGTTAATAATGTTCCAACAGTTAAATATTTGATATATATATATATATACACTCATTGTCTGAACCAGGCCGTATAGTAATTGAATTGTACAGTTGTCCTCCAGGTTTAGCGGGAAAGCCGTTTTCGTTTCGTTTTCATCCCGTGGTTGTAGGCATCCGATAACCAACCAATATTGAGGTAAGTAAAACGTTTACGTGGGACTGAAAGCTGTTTCAGAAAAGTAAAACTGCCAAGGTGAATCATGAAAGTGTAATGAAATAAGTAAGTGCAATATATCATTAATAAATGCATTTAAATAGGAGATACTATGAGAAACTAATTAACCCCTAGTTTCACAACGTTCATTCCAAATGTATAATGCCACCTGTCAATCACGTCTCATAAACCGTTAATGCCCAGCTCTTGCTACTCCTGGCCTCACGCTGTCCTTCGAAATCTTTCAGAAACGCTTAGTATTACCGGACACAAAAACCAGAACACAGATTGGCGACTCGAGAATTCTTTATTCTAACACCAACATATAACCAGCTTTACAACTAGAGTCTAAGAATAAATATTACAACAATAAATGACGATATTACTTCTGACGGTTTTTCTATCTTCTTTCTGAACAGCGAACGATGAGACGATAACTGGTGCATTGATGTCTCCGCGAAAATATAAGGAGGTTGGGTTTTTGAGCAAACAACCATGAATTGATCGTTCAATCTTCAACTACATTGACACTCCCCGCCAAAAGAAGGATCCATCCCTTTTCTCCAACACGACCAACACATGTTGACTTGGATGCCAGTGCGAGAACCTGGGTCACACGGACAGAGCTGAAATGGAAAACAAACAGCAAAGCCAATACACCACAGGCATACCCACAGCACAATCATACTCATCGATGACGACCTACGCCTTCCAGTTAAAGGCATCCTCTCGACAATTTGCAACACAATCGCCACTTGCTAGGATGACTCCTGAAGAACCCAACGTGACCATAGCAGCACCTCATGATACTCTTCGCACATCCTCTTATCTATTCACTATCAATTACCACTGCAATCTCTTGTCACTCATTCTGCCTCAGTTCCAGTAACGGTGACGTATGCAAGCATCAGTCGCCTACACTCTCGCTCCCCGGCGTGTGGGACAACAGCCAACAATTATCTCCGTGTGCTTGTCATTCTCAGGACTAGCCTAGCCTCCCTGGCGTATGCTGCTCATCTGCTGTCTTTAACATCAATCGATCCATTCACGGATGTAGAAGACTCGAAACAACTTGAGAAGTAAGCACGACGAAAATTTTAACAAAATTATGCAATAACAACAAGGTACGAAAACAACAAGTAAACCCAATGAATCCAAAAAGCACCGATTGATATGACACACCACACATATATACAAACAGTACACATAAGCTCGCCGATCATGTCTCGATGTAATTTCCTTGAAGAATCGCAGGACTTACGCCGGTACGCCTGCAACCCTTCTCAGGTTGACGATTGTAATTTGAAGAATATCCGGACACAAACAAGATTAACCAACAATACATTATTTGGAACCCACTCAACGACCGTACAGTTCGATCTACCCGTGATACCTAACACATGCACGCCCACCATTTGTATCGTCAATGAACACGGGCTAGCACTCCTACATAAGTTCTTATCTATTACCGACACGGCAGCCCCTATATCTACTAAACATACTACTTCTTGATCATTCACTCGCAACTTCGAATGCACAGCCCCTTTCTCAACAGCCCCCACTACATCTGGTTTTATATGAGAGAAAGAACACGTATTATACCGTCTGAAACCTTTTCTTTTTCGCCTTTCTGAGCAGTATCTCCTTTAGTGTCCCGGCTTGCCGGATTCAAAAAATTGGTCTTTTCTATCACCCATTGCTGGCTGTCTGTCTGTTGCGCTGTCCAATTCCAAAACCAATCTTTCAAGCAATGTCTTCGAATACGCTGTGACATCTGACCTGTCTACGCTGTCATATGCCGCCTTCATTCGGCCTCTCAACAGCGTCCCCAATACAACCACCTTCGCCGCCTGCTCCTTGACACCTACCAGCTCAGCGATGGCCCCGAAGTCACGTAAGAAGCTCCGTATGTCTCCTTCTTCAAACGCAATTGACCAGAGGATGTTCATATTTCGGAGGCAGCGACACTAATTGTAACGACAAAAGACAAGAGTCAGGCAACGGATCGTTTATTAAGGAAATCAACACGTATTTATATATATTTCATGTATATTATTATAGCTTATTCAAGCAGACAAACACAGTCTTCTGATTGGTTGTTTCTCACAGAAAGTCGACTTTGCACCTCTTTGTTACTGTTTCTTGAATGTTAGGTCATCTATATGTTACCTGTATCTGCCTACGCAAAGTCTGCTGTGATTGGTTGTTGAATCAGTCTTGTTCATATTTTCTCACCACCAATATTTGCGACTTACCATTTGCGTAAAATGCTGTCCAGCATTTTTGGCTTGCCCGCTCTCACCATACGTGGTGACTGGCTGCTATAACACTGCATCTAAACATATGTTGAAGAACATTGTTTTTAATGAGCTTTTCCATAATACTAGATGTTATAGGCGTGAAACTGATCGGCTTGTGTTCGCTGATCTCCGTTCTCGGGCCAGATTTGTGTTTGAGTCTAATGAATGTTCCTTTCAATATACCTGGACAGGTAAGGGTTTCCTAGGATATGTTTAAGATTTTGATTAGCAATATAGAAGTATCAGCACCGTCATATTCATAGGAACATGACGCTGTACCACCAACACCGCCGGAGCTCCTCCAAGTTAGAATGGCTTGTTTAATATCTCGGAATAACAGTAAACGCCATACACCAAGAATTAGAAGAAATGGATAGATGGTGTGACACCTGGCAACTCCAGTTTAATGTCGACAAATGTGGCTGGCTCTGCATAGGTTGCAACAATTTAGAACTTGACCTGACAATTCAAGGCCATGCACTCTTACGATTGGAATCTGTATTGGACCTAGAACTGATATACTCACACGACTTATCCTTTTCTGAACATATCTCCAAACAAGTGTCAAAGTCACGCAGACTTATCGGCTTTCTACTCATGAACTTCTACAGAAATGAGTCCAGAATTCTGTTGTATAAGGTTAGTGTGAGGCCTTTATTTGATTACTGTTCATTCATGTATAGTAGTATACGCATAGAGGACAAATTGAAAGTCGAGAGAGTGCAGAGGTACTTCACGTCAAAATTACTTGGAACCGAAAATGGTGCGAACTACTCCACTAGATGTGATACCCTAGGACTGGAAACACTATGGCTAAGGCGCCTGAGACTTTTAGAGGTTGACAGAATCTCTTATACAGCAACTTCTAACTTATTAATTCTCGCGTACCAAAAGCAAAGCAAAAGCCAATATTTGATCGGCCAAACTACGTGATATATTTTGGGACCAAAACAAGCCGTCAGACGAACGCTTAGCTGGCTAGTGATCGTGCACGCACGTGAGACGACGGGGTACCAAATGGCGGGGATGTTTGACCGGAAGCCTTCAGCCAAACAAGTCGACTTAAACAGTGGTGGTCAGCATCCGATGATGAGTGGTTGCTGTGGTCAATAATTTTAGGGAATTATTTACCACTACAGCCCTTCCCCCTCTAGTGGGGTGGTGACGACCCTAAGAAAGAACCAGCCGGAAGTAAACAACTCGATGGTTCCCTTTCGGGTGAAAAAATCTTCCGAGCGGCTTGGTGGGGTGCCTGCTGGTCTGTCTGCCTGCGTTAATAGGGTGTTTGTACATAGCTTCCTTGAAGTTGTTCGTTGGATCCCGTGCTTCGTTTGTTTCCTGTCCAGCGCCCGTCGCACCTGGAAAAGAAAACAAGAACGCTAAGAACCATGTCGAGGGAAATGTACCCAATCAGCGTTTTTTTTAAATGATGTATATTTACCATACAGTAAAATAATGCAAAATTTAGAACATCGAAAAAAATGCATCTAATTTTTTTGGTGCATGTAAAATGTACTGTGAAAGGAAAAAATTTACTTGTTTTCAGTGATACTGTATATAAAAAAATTGATGCGTCTAAAAAAATAATTAGTACCACAAACGAATGAGTTGGGTGAATCACACGACTTCGTTGTTTTAAATAAGTGTGAAGATATTCTGGGAACCTTACGGTACGTCCAGAACTGGTTTTCTTAGGGTCCTCGACAGAAGATTCGTTAGCTGTCACTGTGCTAGTGACTTCATCGAGGTCTAAACGATCTTCGGTTACTTGTGGATTATGGGGTACGTAGAGCTCTATGCTAATAGGGTTACCCTCCAAGTAAGCCGGTTTCAGACGGTCAATGCTGGCGGTGACCTCGCGGCCGTTTTTGTCCAAGACAAAGAATTTATCCGAGCGTTTAATTACTTTATGAGGTCCATCGTATGGGGGTTCTAGAGGTCTGCGCACAGAGTCACGACGAACGAATACATGTGAAGAAGTTTTTAAACACGGATGAACAAAAGCATCAACGGACTGTGGACGAAGGGGAGCAGGTTTAACCGAACAGATTGCGTTTGTAAGCCTGCTGACTTATGAAGCGTGATCTACCACTGGTGGGAAGCTCGAGAAACAATTTCATCAGGCAGTCGTAGTGTCGTGCCACATACTAGCTCTGCGCTAGTACAACCAGCATCGGTTTTCAAGGCGTTTCGTATCCTTAGCAGAACTAACGGAAGGGATTCAGTCCAATGGGTGGTGTTTGCGGCTGACAGACCAGCTTTCAGCTGTCTGTGTATACGTTCTACCATACCATTAGCTTGAGGATGGTAGGCTGTTGTTCGAAAACGCATGCAACCTATGATTTTATTCAGGGCGAAGAATAAGCCACTTTCGAATTGCCGCCCTCGATCAGTTGTTATGGAAGATGGGCATCCAAAGTTAGCGATCCATCTTTCTACGAAGACGCGTGCGACTGTTTCAGCAGATACGTCCTTGACGGGTACTGCTTCCGGCCATCGTGTGAATCGATCAATGCAAGTTAAAATATAGGTATATCCATGGGATTCAGGAAGGGGCCCAACGAAATCTATATGGACGTGTTCAAAACGAGCGTCAGGGAGAAGGAAGGTACCAAGTGGGCTTTTGGTGTGCCTTATCACCTTGCACTTTTGACAAGCTAAGCACGTGTGTGCCCATTCCCTTACTTCTTTATTAATACCAGGCCAACAAAACCGACTAGTTACGAGCTTCACAGTAGTTCGAATACCTGGGTGAGATAAGCCATGCAACGTATTGAAGACGTTACGGCGATAACTTTTAGGCACGATGGGGCGAGGAGTACTCGTGGAAATGTCGCATAGAATAGTATCTCTTCCCATACCTAACGGTTTCTTAGCTAATTGTAGAGTTGTTTTCAACAACTCATGTTGAAGCTCGGTATCTTCTTTTTGAAGACGAGTCAGTTTTACAAGGTCAGCAAAAATTATGAATTCACGACCCTCTACTGAATGTCGAAAATGACGTATAGCACAGTACATAGCCAGAAGTTCTCTGCCGAATGTGCTGTACTTCGTTTCAGCTGATTGAAGGCTCCTGGAGAAAAAGGCGAGCGGATGCTACTCTCTGTTAACTGGCTGTTGTAGAACTGCGCCGATTGCAGTGTTTGATGCATCAACCGAGATACTTAACGGTGCGGTTGGATCCTGATACATCAGAAGTGTGGCATTCGCAATGGCTTTTTTAATCTGGGTAAAAGCATTTCGAGCAGACGCGTCAAGTTCTATGGACTTGTTATTCTCTCGAAGAAGGTCTGTCAATGACTGAATCAGAGAGGCACAGCTGGGAATAAAGCGTCGATAATAACTTACCAAGCCATAAAAAGTGCGGAGACTTTTCACCGTCTGTGGCTCTGGAAAGTTCAATATAGCCTCGACCTTAGTAGCCAGGGGGCGAATGCCCTTGCAGTCGATAGTGTGACCCAGGAAGTCGAGTGAGGCAACACTGATTTGACACTTTTGAACATTGATGGTAACACCATGTTGGTGTAACCTGTCAAATGCCAAGTCCAAGTGCCTAAGGTGAGTTTCCTTGTCTGGACTGGCAATGAGGCAGTCGTCTAAGTATGCATATACAAAGTCGAGACCGTGAAATACTTCATCAATGAAGCGTTGGAATGTTTGGGCTGCATTCCGGAGACCGAATGGCATACGTAGAAATTCGAAAAGTCCGAAAGGCGTAATGATAGCCGTTTTCGGGATATCTTCTGTTGACATCGGGATTTGGCTATACGAGGCAGCGGGTAGCAATCAAGGGTTGTTTTGGCATTCACTCTCCGGTAATTACCGGTGGGTCGCCAATCATTGCTATCCTTTTTCGGAACCATATGAAGTGGGGATGCCCATGGGCTATTCGAAGGTCGAATGACGCCAAGAGTAAGCATACGGCCAAACTCATTCCTGGCGATTCCCAGTTTGTCAGGAGCTAATCGTCGTGCTTTAGATATCACGGGTTGTCCTGTGGTAATGATGTGGTGTATAACATTGCTGGTTATGCACGGTAGGTCGTTAGACGGGCAATTAAGTTCCGGATATTTGTCAACAATAGGTTAAAAAGTTGGATCGAGGATTCCTTTTATCTTAACGTTTGACAAGCTGGAGCCTATGTAGGCGATGCCTTTGATAGACAGACTGGTAGTATTGTCAATCAGTCGTTTCCGGCGGACGTCTACGAGTAAATCATGGTGATTAAGTAGGTTCGTGCCAATGATGGGCATTGTAACGTCAGCGAGAAGGAAAATCCACCGAATAGGTTTGCGTAAACCTACGTTCAGATAGACGTATTTCCTACCAAAGGTTGCGATTGGTTTTCCATTTGCAGCCTGTAAGTTGAAGGTAGGTTCCTTCTGTCGATCTGCTGCTGTAGCAAGAAGGACGCTGAATTCGGCGCCTGTGTCGACTAAGTATCGAGCCTGGCTTATCACATCATGGATGTAAAGAAGGCGGCTAGTGCCACCGGCAACGGTTGCCGCTAACGTGTGTCGGCGGGATAGTTTCCCACAGACTTTGAGACATCGCCGAAGTTACAAGGCTTACGGCAACACTTCGCCTCTTGGCCATAGGTGTTGTGATACCAGAACCAGTCAGGGTTTTTTAGAGAACGTGGCTTGGACTTAGATCGACCACGTGCGTTTCGGCGTTGAGGAGATTTAGGACGACGGTCGGAGGAGTTAGAAGGCGTGTTTGACCTAAACATCTGTTGGATGGAGTTGCATAACTCCATGATTGCAGGATCCTTACTCGAAGTCTGCTTAGTCATCGAGCGTATTTCGGGAACTGACCGTTTAGTTACTTCTAGAATCCTATCTGCAGTAAAAGCTAAGTCCTCTATTACAACACCCTGAAGTGTCACAAGTGAGGTCTGCACGGACTGTGGCAGCTTGGATAAGAAGAGTTCCCTAAATAGTCCTTCATCGAACTGACTTTGTCCAATAACCTCTCTCATTCTTGTCAGCATGCTTAC